GGGGGATGATCGCACCACGTTGTGTTAAATGGTCAAGCATCCTCGAGGCAGTTACACAGTGCTTACAACTGTCTCTGGAAGTGAACGCACCAGAAAATAAATTAAGTCATACGTAGCTGTCATCCGTACGCAAGGAAGTAAGCACAAGATGCCGAACACCCTTAGCAGGATGCAGCTCACCCTTCATGCGACTCGCCAAATACCTCACGGCGCTTCGCGCTTGGTGATGTGAGAGCCTGGTCCGGTGAGAACCCGGCGTGCTCCGTCCCGGCTTTGTAGGGATGCGAGGTCAATGGTCTAACGACTACGGCATGCACGACTATGAGTACACCCCCCCCCGCCTCCCCCCCTGCGCGCGCAAAATTCTCACCTCTCCCTCCTTCACCCTTGCCCCGTCCGCCACCACCCTGCGGGCTAGCTTTCCGGCAACGTCCGTGTCGAGGCAGGCCGGATCGTACTCCTTGGTAAACACGCAAGTGTTGCCGTTCACCGACAGCCGGAGCCCCGACGCCTCTTGGTTGGCGTACACCACCTATGAAACACAACGTGGCATCGACAACAAGGTTTTCGTGTTCCGTGGTGGGGAACGGGCGGCGGGCGGAAGATTTAGCTGTTGTGTTGCTGTTGCAACGGTTTTGATGGTTGACTGGAATTTCTTACGTGGCTTCTTCAGAAAAGAAACACCCACGCTGGGCCTCCCTTTTGGCTCTCTCCTTCCCTCTCCCTCTCTTCATCTTTCCCTGTCTTGTCTGTCTGCCTGTCTCTCTCTTGTCTTTTATGTCTCCGTCCCTCTCCATCCTTCTTCTTCTCTCTCTGGCTTACTAGATTTCCCCGTCGTTCCGTCAGTCTGTCTACGTCTCTGTCCCTCTCCATTCTCTCTCTCTCTCTCTCTCTCTCTCTCTCTCTCTCTCCCTCTCTCGCTATATTCCGGTCATTCTGTCTGGCTGTCTGCGTATGTCTCTGTCCCTGTCCCTCCTTTCCCTCTCTCTCTCTCTCTCTCTCTCTCTCTCTCTCTCTCTCTCCCTCCCTCCCTCTCTCTGTCCCTGCCTCCTCCCCCCTCGCCCACCTGGCTCTTCCCAGCGATAACCAGCAGGTAACCCCCGTCCGCCAGCGGCCTGCACTGCGCCTCCACCAGCGCGTTCCCGCCGCCGACCTTCCCCTCGTCGCCCTTGAGAGCGGTCACGGTGAAGTAACGGGGCCCGGCCTGGCAGCAGACGAGGCTGTACTTGACCCCCTCGTAGATAAGGTCCACAGTCTTCGAGGTAGCCAGCAGCTCCTTGGGCGGCAGGAGCCCTGGAGAGTGAGAGGGTGAGTGAGGGTTGAGACAAATATTATCGTGTTTTGAGAGAAAAGAAGCGGTGGTGAGAACTGAAAGAAAGGACGACGCAAGGGCGTACACACCGTGTTGTCTTGGCTAGGAGGGCAGGCATACCTGGCACCTGATCGCCCCCCTCCCCACCCCCGCGTGGACTCGCCGCAAAGAAGAACGTAGAAAAGTCGGGCGGTTCGAGAGGTACACACGACGCCAACAAGAAGCGGCCATTGTGTGCCCGAAAGGCAAATTTTGAAAAACACTACTCTACATACCTCTCTTCTTTCTTCACAATCAGCCCGATAAAAAAAACTTCGTCTGGATTTCTTCCATTCGCATCCCCTTCGACCACTGCTGTGGTTTTGTCTCGAACGGGAATTCTCTCCTGTGTTTGTAAATATATATCTGCAAATAAAAAGCAGGCAAAACACAACAACGAACAAAAGAGGAGCAACATCAGAGTCGAGCTAGCTTACCCTTGCCGAGCATCTCAAGGAACGTCTGCGTCCGCTTCTCCACGTCTTCGTGGGCCAGGATAACCGCCCCGGCCACCACGGCCAGGTGGCTGTCCACCTTCCGCATCCGCGTGGCGAGGAGGGACCCGTCCTTGGCAGCGGCGATGCGCACGTCCAGCCTGAACACACAAGAGATTAGGAGGGAGGGAGGGAGGGATTGAGGGAGGACGAGGAAGAGGAGAAGGTGGTGGTGGAGGAGGAGAAGGGTGCTTATTTGGTTTCATGCCATCAGGAGGAGGACGAGGAAGAGGCTGAGGGGGGTGCTCATTTGGTTTCATGTCATCAGGAGGAGGACGAGGAAGAGGCTGAGGGGGGTGATGATTTGGTTTAAGTTCGTCATCAGGAGGAGGAGGAGGAGGAGGAGGAGGAGGAGGAGGGTGGTGATATGGTCTAACTTCGGTCGGCATCAGGCAGGGGACATCCGTCAGGGCGCGGCGGAGGAAAAGGGCGGGTCGCGGCGAACGCGTGTGGAGAGCAAACAAGAAATAACACCCAATCGACCAGAGAAAAACTGTTTACAACGAGAGGATCACAGAAAAAAAGGGTCCTAGATTCAACTAAGCTCTCGTCCTAAAGTGCACCCGAAGAGAAAGGGGAGGGGCTCCACAGTAGTTAACCCGCACTGCCTCCCCCCTCTCGCTGCTCTTTTGACAGCATGCATTGGCTGAGCTTGGCATCCCGGCGTTGTGTGAAAGCGCTCAGCAGGCCGACTCACCAACCCGTGTCTATCCTGTTGGCGATGAAATCTTCGCTCTGAAGCACCTCCCCGATGTACTCGACGGTCGTGCGGATGTCCCCTCGGATGGAGAGCTCCTTCAGGGCAACCTGCCGGTCGGTGGTTGTTGGTTGGCGTGTGTGGGCGTGTCGTCGGCGTGCTACATGTACGGCGGTTGGGTTGGTTGGTGTGGTCGTCATCGCACACTTGGAAAGCGACCGCCATCGTGTGATACGCAACAATAGAGCATAGACGTACGGTTATCGCACACTTCGAAACCGATAACCGGGTGACAAGCATAGACTCACACGAAGTAACACAGCAGTGAAGAAGGGCAACGAAAAAATACGCCGCAAGACTATGCCATCGATGGCGACCAACACACGCGACGAATGTACGGTGCCCCCGTCTTGCACACCACAGGGAAAGACCGTTCCTCTCCGGCTACACAACGCTCGAGCGCAAACAAATACAAATACGAAAACAATACCAGGAACGGAATGTATGGGGTGTAACGCATTCGAAAACCACAAAACACACGCTCAAGAAAAACGATACCACTAGCCACGACCGTACGGCAGCAGTGCGAGAGCGCTGCAGCGTGCTCTCACCGTCATGTGCCTGCGCGCCGTCTCGCGGTCCCCCCCCCTCGCAAACAAGTGACCGAACTGAGAGTCGGCGAACTCGTGCACCAATCTTTTTTTGGCGGTACGAACACGCACGCGGGCAAGAAAACAGGGAGGGCGCGGCGGGAACAAAGGACAAAATGACGTTGACGTAGCGGAGAAGGGGTAGTAGGGGGCACGGGACAGGACGAGTTCCGAAAGGGAGGGAGGGGGGTCAGAATGGGGTTCCCGCGGTTTTATCCCGGAGCAAAGGGGGGGGTGGGGTTCGAGGACGGATACGGGGGGCGATCGCACGCGGAGCGCGGAGGGATCTTAACCCACACCTAACATCTTCTGTTGATCCTATCGGCACATAGCGTCGAAATCATCATGACATAACAACATCTGACCCTTACACCGCCACGGTAAATGGGACGGACTGCTACCGTAAATAGATCAACGGACGGTGTGGAGGAAGTTGCGAGGTGGGGTAAAAGGAAGAGCACCGTAGTCTCGTAAGTCGTATAGCCAGTACTGCTGTGCCGGCCCGCTCTTGAGAAAAGAACTGTTGAGATACGGTTAGGCCCAACTTTTACCGGGAAACAAGAAACCAGGGACAAGTAAACACAGCTTAGCGGCGGATCCTACGACTAACTTACACCCACACAACGAGGAGGTGTCTATCGCTCGGCGGTGGCGACAAGATAGTAAGAAACTGAGACTGTACCGAAAATCTCCGTTCGGTGAATAGCACTGTAGTTAGCAAGAGAAAACGGCAACCAGGTCGGAGAGGCGAGGCTTAGAGGCATCCTAGACAAGCTAAACGCGAACGCAGCGATATTTGGGCCCTGCAAAGAACGCACGAGTAGGCAACAGAACCAACGCGACCGGACAGAACCAATCGCTATAGCGCTATTTAGCGGCGTGCACGAAAAAAAAGCTAAACTGCAGTACCAACTACCGGCCAACACCCACACGAACAACCAATCTGCTGTTTCGCAAAACGTGCTGAAATACCCACCCCGAGCTGTCCACGCTGAAGTATCCCCACACGTCGGGCGTGGAGCGGAAGTTGAGCTCCTTGATCGTGCCGCTGGTGGGCTACGTTCCAAGCGCCGAAGACGATTCGAGGTTCAACACCACCGCACCCATCCCATCGCGCCGCGCAAACAATTCCGATCCCACCGCATCGCACGATCCCGTCGCGTCACATCCAAGGTGTGCAGCAAATCATCACGTTCCAACGTTTAGGTAGGCGGGACGGGGGCGGGAAAGCGGGCGTCGGAGCAAGGGGGGGGAGGGGGGGGGGGGGACAATGAACGAGGATACAAAAAACCACACAAGCACCTTCCACTAAATTGGCCCACCGCTAACGGATACGGAGTATAGCCTACTCGCCGTCCCTTGTCCTGGTGCACACGGCAACCCCAGGCCCCCTCTTATCAATGGAGAAGTGACTATGGCGCATGACATCGTAGTCAACACTCACCACCGGCATGTCTCCGGTGTCTGCTCCGTGGAGGAGGAAGGACAATAAAAGGTGGTGAGTTGAAATTCCGAGCAACGGTTACGCATGGAGTAACGAACTACATGAGATGCTATCGCTTACCTGGAAACCCTGGTCGGGATTCTCGGCGGTGATACGGACGGCGATGCAGTGGCCCTGCGCCGGTGGCCGTTCCTCTGCGAAAAAAGAGCACCACCGAAAAAAAAGAAGAACGAGCGGGGGGGTGGCAAAAGGAGACAGAAAAGACAGGGATGGGGTGACGAAAAGGAGAGGAGGGAACAAGGGGTATCAACAAAATATCGTAACGTGTGTACGTACGCTCTGCTGCGTGTGTTGCTTCGTGGGGTGGCCAATTTTTTTGCGCATCACGAAAAAATTGAGTCATGGGCAACTGTCAAATCAAATGTTCCTAACCTACCTAAGGTTACGCCCCCCCCCCCCCCCACGGGAAGCACAAGAGCCGGAACCACTCCCCCGAAGGCGTTATTCTTGATACATTCAGTTCCCGCTTCGTGCATGAAGACAAGTTTCTTGCGTCTCTCTCCCCCTCTCACCGTTAGCGAAGTCGATGTGGTCGGTGCCGTGAGGCTCGCGGCCGTACATCTGGCGGATGTCCGGGATCATGTGGAGGGGGAGGCCCATGGCCACCTGGAGCTGCGCCGCCGGCAGGTTTACCTTTGTAGGGATAGCGGTAGCGGTAGAGTTTGCAGTAGAGAGGTAGAAGCGGCGGTTGCAGAAGCAGGAGCAGGAGCAGGAGCGGTAGCAGGAGCGGTAAAGGCAGCAGCGGCGTTGGTGGTGGTGGGGTACAAGGAGACGCCCGAACGGGCTACGTTTGTGTTAACATAAACCCTCAACTGAGACTACTCTATGCAGTGCCACCAAACCACAGCATGCGCCGGACCTCATGTTCGTTGTAACGTCTTAACGTGCAAACCACCACTTTTTTTTTTTTTTCATCCTCTACTCATCGCACTCGCCCCTGTGACACAACATAAAATGCGAACATCTCGTGAACACTGCCTGTATCAACAGTAGCAGTTTCTGCCGAGAGCTCTTGTAGCCCCTCGGCGGCCCCCACAGGATGCCCTTTTCACATGTCACACAAAAACACCACGGACGAACCTCACAAACCAGCACGATGCTTTCGTGCTTTTCTTTACGCACGAACAACGCCTCCGTGCCACATCACAAACGGTTCAAAACACCAGCATGAACCTCACAAAAGAAAACATCACGGTGCTATCGTGCTCTTTTTTCACGCGCGAACACGCCTCCGTACCACAGACTTTGGTATGCTTTCGTACTATATATAATGTGTGATGTACGTTTTTCTTACGCCGGAACGCGCCTCCGCACCTTGGTGATCATCTCCGTGACGGGGTGCTCGACCTGCAGGCGAGGGTTTAGCTCCAGGAAGAAGAAGTCCTTGGCGTCCATCGAGTACAGGTACTCCACCGTACCCGCGTTGCAGTACCCCACCTTTGAGGGGGAATCAACCACAACAACAACAACGATAACATACAACAGATTAGGGCCGTAAAGCGTGGTCCGTGCCAAATCAACAACACAAAAAAAAACACACACACACACACACACACACACACACAGAACACACAAACACTTGAGGCCTATTCATTGGTCGGCCGGATATACATAGCGCGGTCGATGTAAGCTATCACACACACACACCCGTACCCTTAAACTAGAAAACGTTCGTGTTCTTTTATCCCGTTGCAAGACTGACGTCTTTTCATTGGCCAGCCGGTTAGCGCGGTCGACGCTCACCAAGAAAATAATACACACGCACTCACACACAACCACACAACCACACGATGACGTCTACATCGATCAGCCAGATGTACATCTCGCGGTCGATGCTAACAGCTATCACACACACACACACACCTCACGGGGTCCCTCCCAGTTCATGGCAGATAGAAGCGTTTCGTGATTTCAACCGCACTATAATAAGACTGACGTATTTTCATTGGTCAGCCGGTCAGCGCGGTCGATGCTAATAACAAAGACGTACACACACACACACACCTTCTTCGCGAGCTGCACCGCAGACCTCTCCATGTTCCCCCACGCCTCCGCGGAAGCCACGACAGCCGGGCCCTCCTCGATGATCTTCTGGTGGCGCCTCTGCACCGAGCAGTCTCGTCCGTTAAGAGCGATCGCCTGTGGTTGGCCCAGACGCACCCCCCCCAAACGCACGCGGAAAAAAAAAAAAAGCAAAACATCGAACGACGACAAAAAAAATTAGCGTGCGTCCACAACACACACGACGTCGCGAAAATGCAAGGAGGTAACGTCCCCCCAGCAAGAATTGGTGCGCACGGGGGCGCGCACAATAGCTGTACCATAGGTTTGCGAAAGATGTCACCGCCCGCTGGATCGATCCTTCAAAAGGTCCATTTCTCCGCGACATAAAAAAGAGGACGCCGAAATGAAACGATGCGTTTTCGGAAAGCCCTCGACGAAACACGGTCGCAACGCCTCCCGACACTTTCGGGCACCGACACTGTTGTGTTTTGTTTTGCTGCGGACCAGTAATCGGGCTGTTAAAAACCATTCCCCGGTGTGTGTGCGGTATCTATCGTATGCACACGATTCAACCTACCTGACGATAGCTGTTAAAAAACAAGTCCCCAGTGTGTGTGCGGTGTCTATCGTATGCACACGATTCAACCTACCTAACGATAGCGGCTAAAAAACAAGCCCGGTGTGTGTGCGGTATCTATCGTACGGACACGATTCAGCCTACCTAACGATCACGTTTCCTGCCTAAGCGCTAATTGGTTACCACACTGTACAGCAGCAATGCACACCTCGCCATAGGTGTCGGCCAGGAGCTGGACCTCCAGGTGCCTCGATCGGGGCGCGAGGCGCATGACGAAGATGGGGGAGCCGGGGACTTCCGACGCCACCTGCCGGTACGCCGCCGCCACGCCCGTCGCTTCCCCTACCTGTGACACAGCATCCGGACGCCGCCGGCGCACAAAAAAAAAAAAAAATAGTGGTGTTCATCCAAACACAATCTGTGCAGTAGCTGTGAAAGCGTTGTTTCGATGCACCAGTCGACTGCCGGGGCATCCACAAAAAAGAAAAAAAAAGTAGGCGTGCGGCTGAAAGGGTTGCTGCTGCGATCATATGCAAAGATCATCGGCTGTGCCACCATCAATAAGATGTCCCACGATGAATAAGACGTGGCAGGCACGCGAAGAGGGTGTGCGGGGGAACAACCGTTGTTCGCACCACACTCGGGCTAACCCTACGCGTTCCACACCTTCGCGCCGAATCTACAGGCGAACGATCACACACTATATTGACAACGGCTCCGCGATGCCACCGCCCCGCCCCCCCCTACAAGCTCCCCCCCAAAAGTCCCCTCTTCCCTGCGTAGACAACGGCAACCACAACAAACACGATGGCATTTGTTGCTCACCATGCGGATGCCCTTGCCCCCGCCCCCTTCCGACGCCTTGATCATCACCGGAAACCCGATGCGCTCGCAAGCCTCCGCCGCCTTCTCGGCCGTGGTAACGTTGGCCTTGGCGTACACGTCGTCGGGGATGCCGCCGTCTGCGTAGTCCGCCTGTTGTGCGACGCATACGGCAGTCGAGACAGAAACATCAGAAAGAAGGGGTGGTGGTGGTGGTGGTGGTGGTTGTTGTTGTTGTTGACTGTTGTTGTTAATTGTTATTGATGTTGTTGTCGTTGTCGTTGTTGTTGTTGTTGTTGTTGTTGTTGTTGTTGTTGTTGTTGTCTTGACGTATCAAACACGTCCCGGCCTCTGCTCCGCGCCCTCTTAACGTCCGCAGAGCGGGTGAAACTGACGCGCACGCCTTTCGTGGCCACAGGCCAATTAACCCCCCCAAGCAGGGAATGTGCCCAACAAATTGTGCTTGTGGATGCATGTGTGGATCGTTTCTATCGAGCAACACGAGCAACGAGAGTCCTCATCACCCACACGAGCGAGTTATTTATAGCTGCTAATTCTCTGCCCAAGAGAAGAATAAAGAAAAAAAGCGCGCGACCGTCATGAACTTGTCAAGGGCAACCCGGCCAAGCTTTCAGACCGTCACCACGACGCGGGCGGGTTGTGGTGATGCCACTGTTGTCAGGGGAGCCACACCACGCAATGTGGCTCCATAGCACGTGTTGACGCAACGCGCCACGCATGCGAGGAAAGGCTTTCCACCCTTCCCTCGACGGTTGTAATGAGGAACCAGGCGCAGGGGGCGGTCATGACCCACCGGTTGCCCAGAGAGCTAAACAGCAGTACACAAGACCGCCGCCGACGACATGCCGGTCTTGCCAGGGACCATGACCCACCCCCTCCCAGAGAGCCAAAAAAGCAGTGCATATGCATACGACCACCACCAACGACTGCCGTTGCAAAAGACCCATCACCCACCCGCTCCCGGAGAGGTAGACAGTACTAGACGGGTAGAAGTGGGGGGTATACCTGAAATCAGGGGCGGGGTATTCCAGGTATGATAAGTAAATGCTTTCTTCATACCCCGAAAAAACAACAAGCCTGTGCCAATGACCATGGCCCACCCGTTCTCAAGAGACTAACGCACGACCACACCGACGACTGCCGTCTTCCCAAAAAATACCACTCACGTGGAGACCGTCGCCGTTCCAGGCGATCGTTGGCACGCCGGCGGACTGTGCGATGATCGTCGACCCGATCTTGTCTCCCAGGGCTCTCATGGGCGGGCCGGAGGGGCTGTTCGGGCGTTCGATGTGGCGGCGTCGTCGTGCACCAACAACAGGTGAACGAGGGAGGGCTTGGTTACACGTGTTAAGAGAGGTGCGTTGGAATGTCGAAGCTGCCGTATGGCTGCGAACGGGTGGACGAAGGAAGGGCGTGGTAATATACATGTGCAAGAGAGGTCACAAGATGAACACCCAATCCAACGTCGCGGGTTATCTGCGCGGTTCTCTTGGTGTAGCTTCATCGCCTAACCCTCACTCCCTTAAGAAACGAAAAAAAAAAAAAACTTCGCACACTGCCTTGGTTGGTGTGCGCATTGCCGTGAGAACTACCTACAAACGGCCTTCTCGTGGGCTTGGGGTAGCACAGAGCTCGCACGTCGCGCAAGACACTCCCTGCATCGCTGCGCCAGTAGTCTACGCAGCACAATTGATTAAGTAAGCAAACATATGGGATAAAGCATTAAATCCGTGCTTTGGGGATAAGGGTAAGGGATAGGGATAGGGTCTGCGTGCCCCCTCCCTATCCTTTTTTCTAGATACTCTTAAAATCCTGCGTAGGCGATCCCGCTGCGCCGACATCAACAACAAAAGCGTCCATGTAGTAGGCAAAAACCACACCACGTGACCACGACCACATCCTTCCTTTTCGTCTGGTCTCTCCAGATAGACTACTACTGTAGATCCCTTTTGTTGTTGTCGTTCACATGGGTAAGGGTAAGAACCACGCCGGAACTTCTCACACCTGCCGACAAACACGCAAACGCATCCAACCCCCGATCGACCCTCTTGGGTAGGTGGAGCTCTACGTAAGAAACTACCCCCCCTTGTATTCCCCGACACATCGATTTTTCTTCTTTAAGAGTAGGTGCGACCACGTGCGTCGAAGATGGGGTGTGGCAATGCCGCTCAATCTTAATGCCGATCCCTCCTCCAGGTCTTTTTCTCGTAGTCACAAGAGTTGTTGTCCTATCAGACAGACACGTTGTTCTCCCTCTCTCTCGTTTTGTCGACGATAAAAAATGGAAATGTCAATCTAATGCCGATTCAATTCCTACTCGACATCCTTCTCTCGTTGCCACAAACTTATCACCCTCCCCCCCCCGTGGAAGTGAACGCAACAGAAAATAAATTAAGTCATTCACCCCCCCCCCCGGCCTTGTTTGCCATCGGGGTTTGGGTTTTCGTCTCTTGGCAACGACGTTGTCAAACAAGCCCCCCACTCGGTGTTTGCCATCGGGATTGGGTTTTCGTCGCTTGGCAACGACGTTGTAAAACAAGTCAATTCACTTCGTGAACTCGGCAACCAGGTTACCGTTTTTGTTTTTTACCTCGTTTTTTTTTTGGCGGTAACCATAATGGTGGTCGAGTAGATCATGTTGTGCGGGGTCGAGAACCCTCACTCCGCGCAACGGGGGATGATCGCACCACGTTGTGTTAAATGGTCAAGCATCCTCGAGGCAGTTACACCGTGCTTACAACTGTCTCCGGAAGTGAAAGCACCAGAAAATAAATTAAGTCATACGTAGCTGTCATCCGTACGCAAGGAAGTAAGCACAAGATGCCGAACACCCTTAGCAGGATGCAGCTCACCCTTCATGCGACTCGCCAAATACCTCACGGCGCTTCGCGCTTGGTGATGTGAGAGCCTGGTCCGGTGAGAACCCGGCGTGCTCCGTCCCGGCTTTGTAGGGATGCGAGGTCAATGGTCAAACGACTACGGCATGCACGACTATGTGTACCCCCCCCCCCCCCCGTGCCCCGTCCCGGCTTTGTAGGGATGCGAGGTCAATGGCCTAACCGACTACGGCAGCTGCACGACTATGAGTACCCCCCCCCCCGTCTCACCCGATGAAAACGATCTTCCTAGCGGTGGCCGCCAGGGTGTCGGGCAGCAACGGGTTCTCCGACGCATGGCCCCAGCCCGCCCACACCGCGTCCACGCGCCAGCGCTCCGCGATCTCGACGATAAGCATCACTGTTTCCGTTAAGACCACGACGGGCCGCAAGTTCCATATTCATCATCCGTGGGAACCATTCGTTCCGTATCCGTCGATTGGCGGTTCATCCATATCCGCGCCCGGGGCAGGTCATCCACACGTTCCGGTCGAGCCGGCGCAAGAATCAGCCGGTGAACCAAGGTGTTTGAGTCGACCCATTGGCACCGGTAAAAGTTTTGCAACGGAGGTTAAACAATGAGAGGAGTAACAGAGAGAGAGAGAGAGAGAGAGAGAGAGAGAGAGAGAGAGAGAGAGAGAGAGAGATAGTCTGAGAGATTGGCCACATGATACAAGCCACCACGGAAGTAAACAGAGAGCGCGTCCGTCGATCGACCCCCCAGGTGTTGCTTCGATTCCCCCTCTCCGTGTGACTCTCAAGAAGCCAACGCGGGGTTCCGTGTAAAGTCAGAAGATCTAAACGCTCGGGACCTCCGCCGTTGGTGCTTGTTCTTGGTTAGCTGCACGACCGACCGCGTGCCTCGAGCTGTGACCCTCTTCAAGGAATGCTCCTTCTCTTAGATATTCAAGGGATGCTCGTTCGCTCTCCCAACTATTTGAGCGATCCTCCCTCCCTCCATTAAAACCAAATCTACTCCGTCTTGTTCTTCTTAACAAGAAGAAACACAAAAAATAAAGCACCACCCACCGTTGGCGTAGTTGTTGCTGTTGTTGCCCCCTGGCACGTCCACCACCTCGTCCGCCATGCGGATGTACTCGGCGTTAGCCCGAAGGTCTTCCGGCGTGGCCATGGCCACGAACTGCACCGCCCGCTCCTTCCCGAACGTCTCGTATGCCTTGGTTACGGCCAGGATGGGTTTCACGATAGGACGGATGGGGGTTTACGAGGAGTTCCGCGTGTGATAAGTGGTGGCTCGTTGGGATAAGGTGGCCAACGCGGGAAGCCGTTGGTAACATCTGTAGCTAGGCACAGGCATTGCGAGCACCCTGGCACAATTGATGGGTGCCTCATCGGCATGTACCGCCGTAGCGCACCCGATCCCGTTGACAGATGGGTTGATTCTTGATGAAACCCTCTCTTCTCACGCTGTCCAGGCCTGCTACCTTAGCCCGGGCTAATCGTAATCGGACCCGCTTCAGCTCTATGCCGGAAAAAAGGAGTGCGGCAGGCGCACATTCTCCAAAATAAAACCGTCGTGGCGTAAAAAAAAGAACCCGCTAAAATGAACACAAGACACACAAGCCATTCCGCATACCGCGCACGCCTGTCGAAGCGTGAGTCTCGCCACGGCATCGCTCTTCCCACCCAACAATTCCAAGAAGAGTAACCCCTTGCTCAAAAGGCTGCCTCCCCTCTACTCCTGCCACCCCCCGGGCCTCAATGGTCAATGGTCAAAGAACTAAGACATGCAAAACATGAGCATGCCCCCCCCTCCCCCCTCGCTTCAATCCTCTCTGCCTGTCTCTGCCCCCCACCCCTCTGGCGCCCTTTGTCCCTCCCTCTCACCCATTTCCGCATGGAACGGATGGCCTTAACCGCGCCGATTCCATTGTTTGCCACGAGGATCTGCCGGTACGGGTCGTCGGCGTGTTGTTGCGGAAGTTCGTCCAGCGGAGCCCGAGTTCGGACGGAGAGAAGAAAAAAACAAAGCAAAACATACGGACCAAAAGGCGGGGCAGGACCGGCGGCGGGTGGAAAGCGGATACCGTCAACAATTTGAGGGCAAAACAGGCAATACATCAATCGAACATACAGGTGCTACCCCTCTAAAACGCACTGCTGCTGCGTGGGAAAAGGTGTGACCAATACGTGCCGTATCTGGTGGGGACACTCCAGAGCGACTTCCTGCCAGGTATGTCATGGTTCGCCCTGACGATGTGAAGCGTCCAAATCTCTTGATGCTCGAGGCCGTTATGTTCAATCTCGATACGGTTCTGGTAGTTCGTGAATGTTGATACTCAAACGGCCTTCGACTTGATTGTTCACTTACTAAGCGGGTCAAAGAGGAAGGACCCGTGACACCCTCCTCGCGGCAACTAATATATTTTGTGAAATTATGGAAGCCGTCAGGTGCCACCACGGCGGAACAATAGTGTGTTCCCAAGTGAAGCAGTCAAGACCGTCCTGCAGGCGGATGCTGCTGTTGCGAGATACTGCTGTACCCACGGGATAATGAATGAAACACTTCTAAATTGCCGGGGAGTCATAAACACGAGCGGCCTTTCTTTTGTCTCGGCTGCTGGCTTTGCGAACCAAGCCGTAGACACCACCAGAGGGGTGTTACTGACCAATTTCAAGCTGTGGGCCCTAGCGAGAACGGAGAGTAACCCGCGTTGCCAAATAGCCACCCACAACAGACAACGCCGTCGGCGTCCGCTACGGTAGAACCCGCCCGCTACCCGCTACCCCCATCCACCCGAAAACTCGGGAAATTTCCCGTAAACATCTCTCGCCGCCAACGAATTTATGGTGGTGCAGTCTAGCCGCGCAGGCTAACGCTTGCGAGGATACCATGCCACGCCGTCTTTCATCGCCAATTGGCACGGCAACGCGCTCGTAGGTGGAGTGGCACGAAACAATTGCAACAAACCGCCGTACTGGCGGAGGGGATACATGCAATTAAAAATGCGGCGGAATTGGTCCAAGAAGTGTCGTGACAGGAGACGTGACGCATCACGCATCACGCGAACCTCTCTGCTGCTCCCTCGCCAACGCCAACCATTACTAGGCGGACAAACAGAGGACTGGCAGCATAGAGACCCGGAGAGAACCAGGAGGGTGTTGTGGAGACCAAAATACCACGGGCGTTGTGGCACAGACAACGCAACAGGCTTCTCGCGGGATGGGCGGGCCGGCAGTACGTATGCGCGTGCGCGGCGAATTGCAGCAAAACGACCGGGACCGCGGGGACACAAAACACGTCCCAGGCACGCTTGTACAAACCTATTTATCTACCGAGCAAGCCGGCAATCGAGCAAGAGTTCTTGGCATCATTCGACTCGCCACCTACCCTTTGTGTGCAGCAGTCAAGCCCTGTGTGTCTGCAGCTACCGCCGTGCACACCAGAGTTGTTGACGTGCGGCAACACAAACGTCACACACCTGCCTCTTACAATGCAGCAGTGCCAACCGTGCATGTATCGCACCTAACTAACGCAGACACAGCACCCGAGACGTAACCACGCCAGAGGCCTAGCGTGTACCCGGCCACCATAAAGCACGCGCTACTGACCTTCTTGATCGGCCTGTTGCCGCCTCGGGCCTTGACATACTCCTCCACCGAGCCGTAGAAGGCGCCGCGCTGCTGGTTCGCCATTGTTCCGCTCCCCGTTGTGCTGCTGCTGCTGCTGCTGCAACCTGTTGGCCGCCTGCTTCGTCCCGTCTTGCCTGGGCTACGACTTCTAGTGACTCCGTGACCACGCCTGCAGTTGCCGGGGCGTCAGTGATGCAACAGGTGGTAGTCAGGTAGAGCAGGCAAGGGCATGCCAAGGACAGCAAGGAACAGCGTGCAGTGCTGCGTTGGATACGATCAAACCTCAAAGCCAGTGTGTGTGCTAGCTACAGCTTTTCGCGACGGACCTTTGAGCTCACGCGCTTGTTATTGTCTGACGTAGCCGGAGCAAAGCCAACACTCGTACTCGAGAGCCCGACTATCTACGCTTATTGTCACCTCAGCAGTCATGCACTGCGTCCCGCAAGCTCTCACGTCCTGGAAATGAATGATCTTTCGACCGGCCAGAGCGGCGACAAAAAAAAAAGTTGTCACGGGTTTCAGTGTGTCACACATGTTGGCGTTCTTGGGGGTCGGGAGGGGGGGGATGCATCTATTGAGGAGACCGACCAAAATTGACCAAAACGGCGCTTGGGGTCAACCGCTCACTTCGAGTGGCTGAGCTAAATAGTAGTGAACAGGGTCGAGCGGATGTAAAACAAGAGGCCGCAGAATGGGCCATGTTATGTATGTTCAGAACGAAATACTTGGGGATGTCGAGGAGGCAGGAGCACTATTATAACTTGTTTCGTGTTTTGTTTGTGCCCCAAAACCCGATGTTTTGTTCCGATGCTAAGTTATATCTCTCCATTTCTTTGGAGCCGTTCTGACTCTTGGACTTGAGTTCCAATATCGGCGGGACCATACGAATTGGGAGAAAATCTGGTAGCGAATGTAACACGTTTATGTGTGTGTACACAAACGGCTCAATTTTCTTGTGTGTCGTTCGCAAGTCGCCCAGAGAATGAAGAGTAAGCCTGAATCCTTCCGCGGGTAAAAAACGCCGCGAACACCGCAGAGGGAAGCAGAGGATCAGACACACACAAAGAACACAAGAACTGCTGTGCTACAGTCGGACCGTCTTGTTTCGGGCACAAGCGAGGGTAAACGCCCCACGGTTCGTATGGTTAGACTCTACCCGGAACGTAGACCCCCGGGTACCGACGTACGGAGGCCACAAAATAAACCGCCGGCACCACACAAAAAAGTCGAGAATAAGGCAGCTTAGAAAGTAACCGATTCATATTCGTTGAGTCACATCAGGCGTTTGAGACTTGCTCAAAACAGGTGCCTCTTACGAGCGGGCCCGCACTGTAGTAACAGCAGTGTCAGGGAGCTGTTACACTCTCGGACGTCTCCAGGTGAACTGCCATGCTCATGATATTTCCGGAGCACATGGCTTGAATTACATACGACTGCTCCGACGGACTGTTTGTTCCAGTTTACCAAGTAATCGGGGTCTCTTTCTCCCCTCTCGCACGCACGCCCCCATTTTTCTGTATTCTGTCTGCTTCCCACCCCCAACCCCACATACACCTGCGCCCGGTTGATTCCCGGCGAACAGCAGTACGCATGAACACAACAGATTACAACCCTGCGCAGGTCGCCCCATAGTCACTGCACTGCTTTTCCCCGTCTCGGGTCCCATGCTGCCGCCCCGCTCCCCGCCCCTCCGCCCAGACCCTAACCTACCTACCCTGCCACTTTGCCCTCAATTCTATTTCGAGATACACCTGTCGTTCCCTGTTTGGTTCTACCGAAATGAAAGAGACAAATAAGTAACAAATCGTCCATAACCCACGAGGCATTCACGCGGTTGCTACAAAGCCGTGCTTCGATCTTGCTTGGCAAGCAGTGCCCTCCCTCTCCGTGCCAAATCGCAAACACCAACGCATGTCAGGGGAAAAGGTCTTTAACCGCAGCGCACCAACCGATAAATGTCGCCACAGAAAACAAATGTACATTAGCAGCAGAATGCGTCAGGTCGAAGCTGGAAACACTCAACACGCGCGAGCGAGTTGTCGCCCCGATCCCAGCCCCACCCCGCTGTCGCTCTAGCAGCACTTGCTTGCCGACCCGCCTTTTCTCCTGCCCACCAGTTCGCTCGTCGGCAACACGCCAGGCGGCAGGCAACACTGCAAACGCGCACAGCGAGCGCTATGCATAGCAGCCGCAGCAGCAGTCTCCACGCAAGACACAGAATCGACTGTATTTACTTGTGCCCCCGCCGCCTCTCTTCCTCCACCTAGCCCCACGACTTAAAAAACGAATAATCGCCTTTCTTTCTAACAAAAAAAAAAAAAAAGTCCCCTGTTCTAACAACGTCTCGTTCGCTTCCTTTCCGGGAAACTACGCATACAACAATGTGTCGGTATGTGCCCCATCACCGCGCACTAGCTACATAGAGGTGGACGGGGGCTGCTCGACCTCCGTCGTCCCCGGGAGCATGGTGGACACCAACGACCTCGCGATGTCCAGCGTGGCGTGCGGCCGCCCCATGGACTTAGCGTTCCGCCCCATCGCCTCCAGCTTCTCCCTGTCCCCCAAGAGGTCGCTCACCTCGTGGGCGATGTCTCTCGGCTTCTTTCTGTAGAGCCCGAAGTGGTTGTCCGTCACGTACGGCACGTTGCCGGCCTCCTGGGAAGCGTCGTTCGCGCAAGGGAAGCAAAAGCAGAAACGGTGTAGAGAGAAAGCAGGGCACGACGAACGAAGAGGCACGGGTGAGAGCCGGACAGGGTTGGATGTACTCGAAAACGTTGAGATCGGGGAGCAAGAGGCACGGTTAAGCCACAGACAGAATCGGTTGTACTAGAAAACGTGGAGATTGGGGTGTGGGGGCGTACTGATGCAAACGCATGCCGTAGTCGTTCGACCATTGGCCTCACATCCCCACGAAATGGCGGGACGGAGCTATATGCCGGGTTTCGCCGACCCAGGCTTGGGAAGGTGGGGGGGGGGTGATCCACGGAGCCTACAACAAAACTGCTGAAGCCAAGACAACGGGTGAGCGCTGGGAGATATTTGCGCTGTTCTGACATGTGACCCGCCCCAGTTGGCCCTGCGCCTTACAGAGCACGCCCGTGTTACAGCAGGGAGCGATTCGCTGTTCATCGCGGTGCCAGGGCTGCGTGTGGCGCGGATATCTGCGGCGTCGACGCCACGAGAGGGGTGCTTAGCTCCGCCGTACCACAGGATTGCGACGATTAGCATTGAGCCCAGGGCGGTTCAAGCTGGGGTACTCGCCCACCTACAGCAGTATCATACACGTGCGGGCGGTCGCACACGCGTGCGATCGTTTCCTAAGGCTCGATTCTCCAAAACCAAGGGAGGAAGGGAGGTAGGGTGCCAATATCAAACTCCTAAAACCCCTGAAAAAAGGGTGGTTTTGCAAAAGATTTCGTCGAGAGCTTTCCTTCAACATTAGGTCGGCATTGGCAGCCTCCTCGTTGTGGAGCAATCGAGCTCTGAACATCGATCGCCCTCCTGTGAGTTCGCCCGCACTCCTACGGCAATTCAAACCTCCGCGGTGCATGCATGAGCTGTGGGCAGGATTCAACGCAGCAGACAGCCAACGAGAAAAGGATGGTACAGCAGTACTGCGAGTGGGGTTGCTAAATACTGCTCCGCGAACGACGGGGGCAAGGGTCCTTGAACTGCGGAGGAACTGACCTGCCCTGGCAAGAAGGAGGAGAGGATAACCGGGAGACCTCTCGTGCACGCCTCTGCTATTGTCCCCGGTCCAGCCTGTCCCGGACGGGCGTGTTCAAGGTATCAACAACAAGCAAGCGCGGAGTGTAAGCAGATAGATTCTCTCGTGTGAAGAATGCGTGTAACGCTAGCGGTCGCGGGTGAGGGGGGGTGGTATCCAGCAGAATCTGAGTTGTCTTGGGAGACACCGGCGACCGAGCAAGTGCTACGGCAGTCGCCTCGGCACCCTCAACAATGTCCTAAAGAGCGCTAACACCGACACCAAGACCGGCGGTGGGGTGCCACTATCGCATCATCCATAGGTACGGGTGTTACCTTCGCATCCTCCTGACCTAAGCTCTTCTTCGACCGAAATGACTCATCCGGACTTTCAGAGGAGGAGGCCAACCGAAACGGGAGCAACGACCAACATCACCCTCGAGACCCGAGACCTGACGAGCGGATACCCCAAATAATCAAACAATCAACCCGCAGCAAGCGCATGCTACCATCAAAAGATACGTGTGTCGAAGTGCTTGTGTTCTGTTCTACCTGAGCTGCCGTCAAGCGTGGCTTGTCGTGGGGTCGGGCTTATCTCTCGTGTACCTACACCACCACCTCATCACCTTCGTCACCAACAGGTCGGACGCCGACATCCACTCGTCCATGTTAGACACGAAGCCCAGCACCCGCACGTTAACCCCGCTCCCTTCCCCCGGCCAAGCGTGCGCCTCCAGCGCCTCCCTCATCTTGTTGTTCGTGCCGCACACCACCACCACTTGCCCCGGGTGGTGGTCCGAGGCCAACCGATCTGCGACCTACCACAACAGCAGCAACAGCAGCAACAGCATGAGCAGCAGCGGAAGCAGCAGGATATTCTCACGAAAATACCACGTGATGATTTGCGTTCCATTTCCGGAAATCGTATCCTCCCCTAGCCCTATGCTCTCCGACGGCCTTTTGGCTGGCCTAGTCCCCTACCCTCTGCGGGCCCGAAAAAAAAAACGCGCCTCAAATTTCAACCGATTGTCATTAAATGAAATTTCACGGTATGCCTTTGTATCCGGAAAAACGTGGTCGCGTTTGGAAAGCGTTAAAACACACGGCTTGCCTGCCAATGCGTCGAGAGACAAGGTAGGGCTCACCTTTGTTGCGATGTCATGCAGCTTGCCAACGCCATCCCCTCCTCCCACGATCAGCGCCGTCCTGGCGTCGCCAAAGAGAACGAGAATCACAGAGCGGGGATTGGGGGCACGCGAGGGAGGGCGTTAAATATTCACATCAAAGACCCCCACGAGATGCTGTAGGACAGTACCCGTTGCTGCCGTCGCAGCGCATGCGCACACGGGTGCACCGACTTCGTCGCCGCCGTACCATGGGTGACACGGGAGAGCGTGTGCTTCCGATGGAAAATCTAAAAGCGTAGCTATGTTCCATTTAGACCACCACCACCACCACCGCCGCCATCACCACACAAGACGAGCGTTCGACCAAAGTCATACACACGCCACACACCCAGGATTCCTAGCTGGCCCAGAAACCAACAATAGAAAGAGAGAAAGGGTGAGCGAGTTGCTCGGACCGCGTCTTCTCACCTCACTCCCGCCTTCAAGCCCAGCCTCTGCTGCACCGCTTGCTTGTCCGACGACTCTTCCCTGCAACGAAGGACGCGTTCGGGGAAAGGGGCGTGACCAGAGACTATCAAAACGGAAACGAAGCCGCGCCAGCGGAACACACACGTGCTCGTGCAAGGTGCCACAGGCCGAGCAGCAGCCGCCGCGCTTGGCGCGGTGCCCCTCTGCGTGCCAAGCAGCAGTCATGCACGATGCGAGCGAGACAATCAACAACAACTTTGAAAAGCTTGGAGGCCCCTCACGTTTGGAACACTGCTGCTGCGCGTTTCCAGACTCTCGTTTGTGGTTGTGTCAAGAGAGAAGCAAATCTCAACGACCAAGGGGGCGAAACACTGCCGCAGCACGTGTATTTAAGTTTTTCTCGTTGTGGGTTTCGAGAGTGAAAAAGGCAAAGCTCAACGACCGAAAGGCAAAGCTCAACGACCGAAAGGCGGGCTCCTCCGCCCAAGAGAAAAAAATGACGAGGCCTCTACAGTCTCGTGCACAAGTACAGGTCCGCAGATAGCACAGCACTGCGTTAAAACCCACGCGACAACGCAAAAGTCGACCTGCACCTCCTGCCAAGCCACTCACCAAAAGGCGTCGCGCACGGGAAGCCCGAACTGCATGAGCTTGTGCTGCGGGATGCCCCTGGCCCGGGCCCTTTCTCTCAACACGTCGCTCGGTACGTACGTAAGGTCTCCCTGTCGCAGTTGGCCGGCACGAGCGCGCGCGCGTACGGTGGTTACGATGGCCATGAGGAATTTGAGCATGCAAGTAAATAGACAACAATGAGGTATACCGCCGTTGAATCGGACAAAAGTGCAGACGCCCGGCAGCAGGTACCGCAAGAGATAAGAGTAGCTGAGGATGACAACCAATTCAACCAAGAGACTACAGATACATCAAGGATTGAGCTTACGGCAGTAACGCCACCCGCAGATGCCTAAGACCAAGATGTCACAAATACGCCCCCCCGCAGTGCAAGATTCATCTACAACCACTAACGCATAGTTTTTCATGAACCAAAGGAAGCGGAGAATTGTTTTAGCAGGAAGCAAGGATTGTACGAGTTTTACTGTCATGAAAGTGCCGTGACTAATTCACGATACACCGTGCACGAGTCGGCAAAAGGCCAACAAAGTTTGTCAGTTTCGGCGTCAACAAGCAGCAGCCACAGCACAGCAGTTGCCCGCAAGAGCCGGCATCTCTCACCCTTGGGTCGAACCACGTTGGGTGCGCCGAGCCGAGGTCGGTGACAACGGTGGCGAAAGGAATCTCCTTCCTAAGACCCAGAGAGGGATTCCGACCCAGCCGGTGCATCCATCCGACGACAGAGTTTCGATGCCGAACGAACAACCATCGAATTGCGGCCGTAGGCCAGCAGGAATAAGGTGTCGAGGGCGGGGCATCGGATGGAGTGAGGAAAGGGTGAGGGCACGAGCCCGGGCTGTTGCTGAAGTTGGCTTCGTGCGAATGTCGTGGGAGCGAGATCTAGCTCTGCAAGTCGCGCCGTTGTGCAAAACAAAACTGAGCACGCATAATCGCCATTCTACTCAATCACTAAAAAAAAGAAGGCGTTTCTGCCCGACAAGCAAGCACCATTTGCCGTGCCGCACGCACGAATACTTCATTTGCTGTTGCCACCGCCGCCGCGTGCGCGAGCCACTGCTGCTGCTGCTGCTGCTGCTTATAAAAACAAAAATGGCGCTCACCCCGTGTCCTCCCGTATTCTCTTTAGCACCCTCAGGGGCACGTGGTGGCACAGGGGGTGCATGGACACGACCAGGTCCGGCTCGTACTTCTCCAGGCAGCTTCGGAAGCTCCGGTGGCACGTCAGGTTTGCCATTACCTCTGCCCACCGCCTGCGGGAGGGCGTAGCAGATATGTAAACATCCACCACGACAGGGAGCGTGGGGGGGGTATAGGACTGGGTCGATTGAGCGTCTTGCGTGTGTACACCGCTGCCGCGGTAGATACAGCAGCCTGTTTGTTTCAGGCCGCCATGGTCAAGCACAAAAAAAAAAAAAATCCAAGGGAAAAACCACCGGCCTTTTTGCATCGGGCACCCGGCACGATTCAGAGAATGAGACGACTTGAATATTCCATCTGTGCCGAGCGATTTGACGGGCCTGAAGCGGGGCAACCGGCCCTAAAAAAAGTATCTCTTAAACAGGGAACCTCTGCAATGCTGTACGGACCTCGTTCGTTCTCTGTAGTGCGGGACAGCATCCTCTCCCTCAAAACTCACCGGGTGGGCGGGAACCGGGCCATGTCGTACGAAAGCTTCCACAGGAAGGGGCGCTTCCCCAAAAACTGGTACGTCCGCACGGCTTCGGCGAAGGGGAACCGGCCGTACTCTGTCCAGATGTCCACGATATCTGTGTGGATCTGGAGTACAACGTGATTTGGGGCAAGTGAGTGCATTTGGGGGGCGGGGTGCTTTTACATGTAGAAACGTCCCCAACGCGGTGTTGGATCATTGCCAACAATAGCATTTGCGTTTATCATCGACACAAGCAAGGGGGTGGCCATGGTTATTAACGCAAAGGCTAGTTGTCTATTAAAGCTTGGAGATCTTGTGCACCCTTCAACCGCCGCCGTGGCTGCTGCTGCTACCTTTTCCGACACAGCAGTCTACAGTAGAGACTTCAACTTCTGCAGTGGCGGCGCTAGCGCTGCTTGACGCAGCTATTCAAGGCAACCACCACCCGAGGCCAAACGACGCCATGAACTCCAGCAGCAAGGAGTGGACCTGAACAAGCGTTCGCGGCGGCGCAGCCAGCCGGTCCTACGCATTCGGATGGCATGTAGTACCACACCATATGCACACACACGGGAGGGACTGCATACGCATAGCAGAGCAACACAAGGCATGGATCCGAGGTTGTTTACAAGTAGAAGTTGCGCCGCAACGCGTTTATACGCTACTACGCAAGTCGTCCTGAAACGTTTCGAACCCTCTTCGCCTGTGAATAGGCTGCGGAGAAGCTGCCATGCCTCGCCGCCCCGCCGCTGCATGCATACCTGGTCGCCGTAGAGGTTCTCGAGAGCCGCGTTCAGCGCCTGCGAAGATGCTCTGTGCCCTCCCCCGGTGTCGCTCATGATGATCAATATTTTCTTGGGTCGGGTCGTCGTCGTTGCCTCCGTCGGCACCCCAACATCCAACCCCGTCGCGGACGCCCTGAGCGCCGTGGCCGCGGCCCTAAACCCTTTCCCTTGGGATAGCGCGGACACCGCTCGGAGTGCCCTCGCGTTCCGAATTCCGGTTGACGCTACTGCATGTTGTGCTGAGTTGCCGGTAGCAGCAGTTGGACTGCTGTCCTCGACTTGCTGTTGCGCAGATGATGCGTCTGCTGCCTGCTCATCGTCGGTTGCCTGTTCTAGTGCTCTTCGCTCCTGCTCCGACCTTCGAGTGAACGCGTACAACCGTCGCTGGCTCCCGCTGCTGCTGGTGCTACGCGCTGCTCCGCGCCCGCCCTGCTGAGACCCTAGGACGATCTTCGGTAGAGGCGATGCGGCGGCAACGGGTGTTGAGGTTGGAAGAACCACGAAACAGGCGACCGGTCCGGTGCCCACGGACAGAGCTAGCCAAAGCAGCGAGAGAGGTCCGCGGAAGGCCATACGCTGGTGGTGGTGTCGTCTACAGGGCGATGGCGCCGCAAGTCTCCCTGCCGAGCTTATTTGCTGCATGTTTCTCTGGACGCGTGTGTTACGGACCCTGTGCCAGCTCCCTTCTGCTCCGCTTGTGGCGGCCACGCGAACTGGACAAACCGAGTACCCGAAGCCACGTACGTATGCATGAAACTGTCAGTTTTATGTGTAGTCGTCGTGGGATGATGTCATCACCGACGACAAGACACACCGCATACTCCCACCTTGCCCTCTCTCTCTCCCTCCCGCACACCTTGTAGTGTTCACAGTCTGCCCATCCAGTGTACGGTGAATCATCCGACGGGGTGATCCATCGGGGAGAGAGAGAAAGAGAGAGAGAGAGAGAGAGAGAGAGAGAGAGAGAGAGAGAGAGAGAGAGCGGTCGCCTGACTCGTGGACGGGCATGAGCCTGAGCCTGATGCCGTTGCGTATACACCATCACGCCGGGCGAAGCACAACGGTATAGTCTACAGGCTGTACCGATAGAGTGCTGAGAGCGTACTGCTGTACACATGGTATAGAGAGGCTGACCTGCAGGATCTGTCTGCAGGGCATGCGCGTGGGGAGAGTCCCCGGGACTGCTGTGTGATCGATGGAGCCAGCATGCACCGAGGCCGGGAAGACCTTGAACAGAGGGGTGAAGCCGACAACGCCCACCGCACGCGACCCGACGGGAAAAGTTAGACGGAGATCAAGCGAGGTAGTACCCAGAAGAGGCCTGCCGAAGACCTTAGGTCGAAATAAATCTTGCGTGGATGTGGGTGAGACAGGAGTGCCCATGGCAGGGTCAAACGCGGGGAGCAGTGCCGCCCGCGCTCGTCGAGGAAGCCTGTCGATGTTGGCCAATCAGCTCAGGCTTCTAGAAGAGGAGAAAGCCGGCGCGGCCCGAGTGAGGTGCGATACGCGTGTTGCGGGTACTTAGAGGTCATCGTACTCTTTCACCCTCCAGCCTTAATATACTTCATCGCCCACGGTGTTGTGGTCGCGCTGTTTTTGTCCCGTGTTGGCCGTCGAGGGTATTCTGTCGCGATCACTTGTGCGCTTTGGTGTACCGTAAACTACGGAGTTTTGCCCCCGGGGAGGGGATCGTTTTTTTTCTGAAACCAACCCCCCCGAGGGGAAATTGACGTACCGCGGGGGGTTATTTATTTCTTTTTTTTTGCAACGCTAACCCGGGGGGAAGCCCCCCTCCGGGGGGTTGTGCAACATATTGATGGCCCACACACCACACACACAGAGAGTGGCGAAACGTTCAGTTCAACAAGCAGATTAAGGAGGAACGTAAGAGCAACGAAGGCGAAGAGAAAGAAGACAACAAGGAGGACAGCAGCGGGGGGTGTTTCTGTCCTCCTTGTTCCAAGAAGAGGAAGGGCCCGCCTTCCAGAGAGTACCCGCCAGCTCCGTTCACACTGCTCCGCTATGCAACAAAGTCTACTAAAAAAATAAGGGAAATAAATACACCCCCCCCCGGGGGGAAGTCGTGGGAACTGGTACCCCGGGGGGAAATTGAAATAACCTGGGGGGATGTTTTTTTTTTTTGTCGAAAACGATCTACCCCGGGGCTAAATCAACGAAACCATGCTTCCAGGCCGAAAAGGTAATGGGGGGGGGGGGGATCTGGACTAGGGGGGGGAAACTCCGTAGTTTACGGTATTGTGATAAATTGTGACTGGCACAACAAAATTGACTAATAGAATGACGGTTCCCATGTCTTGTTCGCACATGGCGATGGTAGAGAGGCGAGGTCATTCACGTGCACACATTTGAGTGAGAAAAGGTTGCACTGTCTGTGCCAATAATGCCGATTTCCACCATTCATCATTGCCTTCGGCGGCGCGGCAAACCTTTGGCAGCTGTCTCATAGCATAGAGCGAGAGAAAGAGAGAAAAAGAGAAAATACTGTTGGCACCGACGTATCAATTTTCCTTTGCGGTACTAGAGTAGTTGGCACAGAGAGGTGTGTTAGCATCTGTAGACCGTATGTTCAGCTTGTCTATTATGCTGCACATCACCCCCTTCATCGGCAAGACTCCGCAAGAATAAGTGGCGTCTTCTTCGACACGGTTTACGCTCCACGGCTAGCCGAAACTGCTGGCCGGCATACACACGCCCAGAGGAACCAACTTAACGCGCAGCGTACCGCTCAAAAGCGGTATTTGTAAAGGGAGTTAGGTTTCCAGGTCTTTTTGTTCAAGATTTTGCCATCTTATGTATGTAACACCCCGGTTCCCGACCCCTTGTTATTCCCCCGCGCGTGTCGCCGATGTCTTGACCCAGATCACAAGACAACGAACAGCAATACATGCAACATGTGCTTGATTCTGCGCTTTTCCTGGGATTCACAGCAGTAGCAAGCACGGTTGCCCTTCTTCTGGCCGTTCTACGAACGGCTAGTTGGCAAAAATGGTGAGGGGGTACAAACGGGAGGAAGATGGCACTTCTGGTTCAACCAATGATGTGTTGTACGGAGTATCCCAATCACCCATGTTCATGTAGACAACGTCGGTGTGTTGAAACTGGTCGAACCCAGTCCTGTACCACGCTGAGAGTCGTTCAAAATGTACGCAGACATAAACTTGCCCAATTCATCACGGGAAAATTGTCACCGCTGTCTCGTCCCACGAATGGTACTCGAGTGTGCGCTCTATTTACTGGCACTCTTTTCGTTCTGTTGCCACACACATGTGTTCGAGAGCAGGCAAGAATCCGACTGGATTTGGGTGGCGCAATGGTTGTTGGCGGCAGCTGCCGCTTTGGAGCTTGTGCTACGTCTGTACGCGTGTGGCCCGTCGTATTTCTCCCATTGGTGGGTTGAAATCGCTCAGTTTGATATGTCAGCACCAAGGCAATGTCAGCATGAATGAAGTAATGACATGATGCACGTTGTACGCCAAACTCGTGCCATGGAACCGTGCCGGTGCCCGAGAAAAATGGCATCATTGTGTAGGCAGCGGACGGGCCAACGCTCGCTCGCCACAAATCTAGACTCGCCCTATTCTCCACGTAGATTCCAAGCAGAAGTTCACAGTTGCGGACTACCGTGGGTATCCTGTAGACAGGTGTCATTCATCTCACCCAAGAACGAGAAATGAAACGGTGTCGACGTCTGCAATATCGTTGTCCGAGAAAAAATTGTTATCAAGAGCAAAACAGCACCTAATCAAAGAGCCTACATGAGAGGGTGGCAACAAGATTTGGTCTTAGTGCGCGCACGTTGGATGACCTTGAGCTTTATCATGGGCAGCAGCATATCATACCCAGCTCGCCTCCCAAGTGAAAATGTAGTCGTTTCCTGTTCCTGCCGCGCGAACGCCTGTGAGTTATTACGTCTTGTTTGTGCTGTGCCAAGCCCCCATCAACTGGTCACTGGACATGGCTCGGGGGGGAAATTTCACATCCTAATCTCAGTAGCAGCAGTAACAGCCTTTTTTTATAGACAAAGGGCATCTCGGAGACTATGTATATTCTTGTATACCAGACATTTTCGCGATTGTTTCATGATTTGCTTGGGGGCACGGGCACCACGTGCCATCCCTACTCGATAGACAAAGCGCATAATACCAAAACCAACCCAGTGTACCGGTACCGGTAGATGTATCAATGGCGAGGTCAATGCCGCTTGACAAACTAATTTCAGCGTTGAGTGTGGCCTGTGCCTGTGAATGTGTGCTGGGCGTGACAATCGACCATGCGTGGCCTTCTTCTCGCTTCGCTTCAGGGTGCACTTGTGGGACGCGTTCGTGATCGTGGGGGGGGGTTGCCTGACGGTGTCAGTGAGGGTGGGCTCAGCGGTGCTGTTTCTGCGGACCGTGCGCATTGCAGCGTTAAGGCGTGGGCATTTAGTGTCGGGGCGTTCAGAATCACAGGTAGGTGTGCTGCGGCGAAAGCCTCACGCCAACACCTTGGTCGCGATAAAGTTTGGTTGGGGTGTCAAATAATCGGGTTTGTCCAGCTGCCGGAGGACTGTAAGAAGAGGTTCGTCATCCACAGTCTGCCAGGGTTTCGTCGTAACGACGAGCCCCGTCCCGGCCTCTGAGGCTGACAGTCCACAGACTACGGATAAGCACGGCAACCACGATGTGTCCTCACAGGCTGCGGGTGTACACTGCTGTGTGTTGCCCTGAAAACCCGGTCATTTGTTGTGTTGCCCGGCGTCTGATCCATCTTGCCCGGTGGAAGTCCTCCTTTTGTGTATTCGCTACAAATGTTAAAGTTACAGGACGAAAGAGAAATTATAGCCTTCTGCGCCTTGTTGCAGTCTGCAGCCCATGTTCCTGTGCGTTAGCACTTGGGACACATCTGTACAACTGGCGCCGGCTGCTTGTGGGCGTAAGAGTAACTCTGCTGGGATTTTCGTAATGATTCGTTGTTTGCTCGGCGCTGTGATCGTTTTCCCACCCTATCCGAAACAATTTGTGCCATCCAGCGTATGATCCAAGTAAGTGGAAGGTCGTTCGTACCGGGTACAGAGTTGTTGGGTAGACGGAAACCCAGACTGGTTGTTCAACAACGGAAGGGGAGACAGCCAAAACACATTTTTCGTTTTTTGTTCTTGACTTATGTTATTTTTCGCGCCCATTCGCCGTGGGGAGGCGAGCAGATCTCTACCAATCCGGCTGTGCAGCTGTATCAACTGGTCAATCGCGTTGTGCGAGATTCTTCTGGATTGTTCACCGCAGCCGAGAAGAGAACTCTCCGGCGCCTCCTGGTGAGAATGACCAACAACGGTCCGTTTTTCAAGATCTTGACGAAAGGGCATGCACTTCCATTTTGTTTTTCAAGGACGAAACACAGATAGATTCATCCCTGTCCGTGGTTAAGAGTCCAGGATAAATTTGCAGTGAGAAACCTCGTGTGCCTATGTTTCCTCGCACCAGATATTTCGCGGTAGCTCACGTACGGATAACCGGCCCAACAAGATATTTGGTGGTGATCATGCGTGGAGTAGAAGGATTGTGTGTCTTAGGAATAAGTGCGTTGGGCGTTTATTTCATTCAACAGCAGTGAGGACAGGATGCGAATTTTGCGAGTCACGAAAATGTGTCCATTCATGGGGGACGAAATCGTCGAGCGTGCGGGTGAGTTATTGCTTACATTGGGTAAAACGAACGCTAGCCTCCAAATCCCGCCTACCCGGTTCGGATGCGAGGTCTACTCTATCCCCGAGAGCTTACTCTAGTGGAACGGGTCGGAGCATATTTCACCCGGAAGGTGGTGCTTTGCTGCGCACGAGCGGGTCCCCAAGTTTAATGCTTGCGGGGTTCCCTAAACGTGCGCGAAATATGTCGAACGCCGCGGTAGACCCACAGTGAGAGCTTCGCTTGTTTACTTTGTAAGCAGTATTGAACCTCTCGTGTTCTGAGGCCGACGGCCAACAATTGCGCTAAGCCTTGTGCCCGTTGCCCCTTGCCCCTCTCCCCGTCTGTTGTTTGTTTCCTTGGTAGTCCCTGCTCGCGCACAAGCAAATCTACGTGGACGCTACGCTACAGCGAGGAAACGAAGCCTACTGGAAAGAGTGAGAAATGTGTATACACCACGAGCATGCTCGTTTGAAAACCTAGTGTACCAACGATTTTCGTTTCTGCTTCTGAACCTGCTATGTGTTGGGCTCGTATTCGTGTGGGCTCCTACATCGAACCGAGATCCAGACATTGTTATCGTAAATATTAGACCGATACGCCCCCGTAAAAATCGCACCACTCCTTACGAGCCCCCTAGTACTACGCTTGCCAAGGGGTCTACTTCTGCGGTGTCCAGTTTCACGGGCTTGAGGGTGACAACACTGCCGAAAAATCAAGCACACACACACCGCCACGCATGGAAATGAATTTCCCGTCCCTTGCAACGGACGGATTGGTACTGGTGGTGTCAATGGCGGTCTCACAAAAAATGGATCCAAGCTCCCCTTCTCGGGAAGCGTGGGGGATAAGCACGAGTATCACTGGATATTACACACACTTGCCCTCCCGTCCACTGCCGTTCTTCTTTGGCCGGTGCTCGGCCGGTCCGTCAACTAACAACCGGTGAAGATACGGCCAGGACGAGGACAGGGCTCGCGGGAGGTCCAGCTTCGCGGTCGGCGTCGGGGCAGACCCCGCGATCTCTCCCTCCAGCTTCTGGGTGTCGCCCCCGTTGTCGTCCCAGCTCTCGGCGTCCGCGTCGAGCGAAGAGACGACGGCTTCGCACATGATCGGCGTGGCGATGGCGCTCGGCGGGGGTGGGGTCGGGAAGCCGACGATGGGGTCGATCCAAGACAACGCTGTCCGGGCAGTGTTGGCGAAGGTAACACGTCTTGGTCTGGGGGCGCATAGAAGGCGCCCACGCGCGAGGATGGAGAACAGATTTTATCGTCCCGCGTTTTTGGGCGCTGAAGTGTGACGCTCTGGCGGGGGCAAACACACCGTTTCTTGTTCGGTTTAGCGGAGAACAGCGCACGGAGTCGTTTGATATCTTCGCAGGTTATCCTTGAAATTACCTTCACGGTCTTGACCCCAGGTATGTAGGTCGGGTTCTCCGGAGATAAAGCAAACTAGAAACTCGCAACTTGAAGCGCAAACCGAATATGTAGTCGTGAGTACACACAAAACAGGGAAGAGCAGACTGAACCCTTCTCGCGGTAAGTAGAAGTTGCAGGCAAGCACGGCAGGAGGAAAGGTGGAGAATTCCTCCAATAGGACCCCGGCTGATGCGTGAAGCATGTACCGGAAGGTGTAGACTGGCGTCCACGGTAGATGAGACGATACCAAGAATATCCTGATCATCCCGTTCTCAATATCTTCGGAAATGTCATCGATGGAAGTAGGGTTACTCAAAACTCACCGTGTTCATGACCCACACAGCCGCCAGAGGGTTTTCGAGGTTACCAACTGTTGCATGATCGTGGCATGGAGACAGTATTGTCCGTTGTTATGAGCAGTACTGGGACATAATGGTTCGCGTGTCCTAATATTCTTCGCGACGAACCATGACAGGTGGACCAATGGGACTTCGACCCATTCGAGCTGGAGGAAGTGACCCAGGGGCATCCGCTGGTGACCCTCAGTGGGTACCTGTTCGCGGTAAAGCACAACCTTTTCTCGTGCTTCGCTTTTAGCAAGGTAAAATAAGTTCACGCGTGCACGCAAGCGCGCCATCGCATGGATCTTTCTTTCGTGCAACGGTAGCGGTACTAGCTCGTGGTTGGCAAGCTTTCGTGAATGGTACCGCAGTACCAATACTTCGGCGTGGGCATATTTGTGTACGGTGCGAATGTTACAGTTACTTCCGATAGTTGTGGCACACGTGCTATCATGCCCATTCCTGTGTGGACACGTCGTCGCGCGGTTCGCGTACGTATTATGCTCCTCGCGTGATATGCGTCGAGCAACGTGTGCCGTTGCAGTCACGTCGCCACGAACCGCGGCTTTTGTTGCGTGTACCTTCCGCTTGATTTTAAAGCCAACTACAGTACACCTTCGTCATCTGTGCTGGTATGCCACTCCCTCACAACACGCCCCCTGAACGATTGCGCTATAATTACATCACAAACGAAACAGCTCATGTCGTAGACATAAAAACTCAGATGAAAAGTGGCTGACGTTCCGTGTCCTGCAATGTCGACCCCATGCCACAGAAAGGCAAAACTGGACACCCACACACTTCTCACGTCGCCCCATGTCGCCGTCCCCTATCATCTTCTCCCCCCTTCCCTCCTCTACGTACGTGTACGTTTCCACGTCGGTACCCCCACCCCACCCCCTTGGGGACGAACGAAATGGAATGTTGGAGGAGCAGCCTCACTTCAACAATTTTATGGTCAAGGTGGAGCAGGGCTATGGGTCAGGGAAGGGTGCCGGAGTTACCAACGTTTACCACAGCCGACGACACGCGGCCGATGTCACTCAGGCTGTGCACTACTTTCTAAAAGTGAGCTTTTCGTGTTGAGGAGCGCAATTGGCCGTAATTTTGGTCGACACAATATGCTCTTCTCATCCCTGTTGATGTCCCCCCTTCGTGACCAAGCGGACGCAGGGAGGCGAGTAGAAATGAGATTTGAGGGAACCATGGGGTGCTGTTGGTGCTGTCGTTTTTCGTGTGAGGAGGAATGTTAATCTGCTTGTTATATTTTTTTTAGTGGTACGTGCTGAGCCGGAGAAATGAACACGCTACTTATTCTGATAGATGGTTCACGTCTACTCGCTGAGAGCGAATATGCTTCTGAATGCTGTCTGATTTGTTTGGTGTCTCATGAGCTGTCCATACCGTCTCCGATCCAAAACCGTAGAGGGTGAAATCAGACCTGGTCTATGGAGCATGAAAGTGTCGAGCTTCAATCCAGCTTGCCTTGTCTAAGCATCAGCTCTCGTGGCCTAATGTTAGATTTTTATCTTCTTTGACCTACCTAGTAGTGGCTGAACCTCAAGTCTGCAACAAAGTGTGTGCCTTATGCCGACCTCGTCGCACGCTTAGTTGAGCCCCACTTTTGAAGAAAAAATTGCTCCGGCCCACACCTGGTCATAAGGTTGCCTCTGGACGGCATGCCCGAGTACTTATTGAGCTCATCAGGCTACTACCTAGAAAAAATTCGGCTACATTCCGGAATTCCTTTTGCTTCGACAAGTTCCTTCTCCACTACTACCCACTCGCGAAGGGCTTCTCTTGAAAACTTTTGTGTCTGGACCCTGGTTTCGGCTTCAACCTCCTTTCCATCCGGGTCGTACGCATTGAATGCCGTACACTGCATACAGTATATTTAGGTAGACCCTTCATGCAGAGTGACCTTCGCCGCCGCACAGCATGGAGGGAACCGCTGTACGACACTTCGCCCTTCCCTGCACAAGTTGTACAAACATCCAGGCATCGTCGCAGTTCGTACGTATGCGCTTGTTCACATTACCTCGTGCTTCAAGAATGGGTAAAGAAGCGCCGCGCAAACCCCACCCCAGGTGTGCAACTTGGGGCAGCACCTCCAGGACGCGGAGGTGGCCGCCCTACTTCTAGGCTCGCTAATTCACGACTTCAAGCACCCGGGGAGGAGCAATGCTTTCCTCACCCGGATAGGGCATAAGCTGGCCATCACGTACAACGATGTCAGCGTTCTCGAAAACTACCATCTGTCTGAGGTGGGGCGCCCAACAATGTTCAAATTTCTTGCGCGGTCGTGTCGAGAGAGAGAGAGAGAGAGAGAGAGAGAGAGAGAGAGAGAGAGAGAGAGAGAGAGAGAGAGAGAAGGGGGGGGGGGGCGTACTCATTTGTTGCTTGCCGTAGTCATTTGACCATTGACCACGCGTCCCTTTCGAGACGGAGCACCGTTCCTACCCCTACTCGAGACACCACCAACATTTGGGAGCTCTTTACGTTTCTGCCACAAACTCCATAAAAATTTCTTGCACATCTTATCCCCGTCCTCTAGGGCCTCTTGTGCCCACCATCTATCCCCAATTATCGCGATCGTTTTTTCGCTGTTGTCTAATTTACCAAACTTGTCCATGTCACACCCTCTCTGTCTCATTTCCTCCTCGAGATCCTCTCTTTCCTTCCTGTACAACTCACACTCCCCAACTATGTGGGGTCTACTCTCCTCCGATTTGCCACATGGACATGTGTGTCTATCCTCCTCTTCCTCTCTCCTACGGCTGGTATACCTGAAGGGGGGGGGGGGATGGAAGCGGTCTTGTCACCTTCTTCCGTTTCTGTTCTTTGAGTTTCACTAGTAGCAGTGGAAGAGAGGGGAGAGAATGGGCAAGTGAGAGTGGAGATCGGGACAACCCCGGACAAGTAGCTTTGTACTTCGATCTATATGCGTTTCGACTCTTTTGTTCTGAGACATTGCCTTGCTTTTCAAGTCGGGACTACCAGACACGGTCTTTCTGCGCTGTTCTCTTTGTCTTCTACACATGCCCGCCTCCCTCCGCTACACACTCTCTATTACGTGTTGGTCACTCTTCCATTCACTTAGACGAGGGATGGGTCTCATTTACTCCAGGCAACCCAGATGGAGAATGGTTGGAAGCGCTAGGGGTTAGTTTGCAACGGGGACACAACTCGGTACAGCCCCCCGAGCGTGCTCGATAATGTTCAAACACAACCCTTCTTGACGCCCTCTTTCTCTCTTTCTCTCGTTGTCTCTTTCTCTCTTTCTCTCTTCCTGCCCATCCCTGTGTTTCTGTGCTTCTGTCTGACTCTGTGGCTGCCTCTTGATCACGGCAGGCGTTCTTCCTGCTGAGAGAAGACGAGTGCAATTTCTTTCGAGATTTGGCTCCCGCTACGGCGCAAGAGATAAGGCACATCATGGTGTCTATGGTGAGAAGATGAGCAGGCAATATGCGCTCAGTACTCGCCATATTTTCACCTCTCGTTTGACCTTTTCGACAATTTCTTCGGTAGAAAGTCTGGGTCACTCCTTACCCCGAAATGGTGGATATCAACAATAACATCCCGGAGACGACCCCCCCCCGCCCGATTTCACCCTCCACTGCCGTCCCCGCTCGAATCGGGAAAAGGTCCTCGCGACGGACCTCAAGGAGCACTTCGATGTCCTCGGGGAGTTCAATAGCCACCTGGCGGATGTACGTGAAGGGGTTCTCGTCAACGAAGGGAGATCAAAGACGTACGCGTGCGCCATGAAGGTGCCCATACAGACGGTGCCGATGGTGCCGCTCGGTCGGCGCAGTTCATCGTTTGAAAGCTTAACTTTCGTCAGGTGTTAGCGGGGTGATTTTCTGAGATTTTGGGTGGAACGTGCTCTCCCACTCTTTCATTATAAAGAAATCGTTCAGTCGAAGTAAGCTCTACGTAGTTGGGATTTGACGGGTAACATGTTTGCTCGCACCACGAATCGAAAATACCTCGCGCGGCGGCCTCAACGCTGAACCCGTATATGTATGACCACAGTGTTCGATTGCTTGGATACTGTTTTTTCTTTGCAAGGTTTGTATCAAGAGTGCGGACATTTCACACCCGGCTCGGGTGACGGATCTGCACCTCCGCTGGACGCGTGACGTCATCGAAGAATTCTTTTTGCAAGTGAGATACGAAAGCAGCGTCCAACTCTGCTACAGTAGCTTGACTCGTAGATGGTGCACCGACTCGCAGAGCCATGAAGCACCACTGCAAGCACCGACCACGGCACGCGCAGCAGGTCACACCGGGCTCCAGAACAGCCAACAGGAGGCGTAGCTATCGATAGGGCTTCGACGTACGGCAGAAGTACTGCTTTAGTGACAGTTCCGACTGGACTCTTAGAGTTGGCACAAACTGTTTACTCCTGGAATGATCTTCTCTATCTACCAACAATCTGCGCCAAATCAATAGTGCTGTACCAATCCCCGCACCTGATGGATGTCTCCTCGTCGTTTGTCGGCTATTAGAAACCTTGAACAAAGTCATAATCTTGCGCTTGAAAAAAGAAACGACTCTTTGTTGTTGACGAAGAAAATCGCAAAGTTCGTCAACCTCTTGTCTTGCCTCGCAAACGGACCGCTCCCGCCTTCGTCGGCTAAAGAGCTTTCATTGTGTATCCAAACAACAACGACAGGGGGATGAGGAAAAATCGCTCGGGTTGGAGCCGTCCCCGCTTTGCGACCGCCACAACACCGACATCGCCTCGTCACAGAAAAATTTCATTTCTTTCCTGGTCAACCCTCTCTTCGAGAGCTGGGTCGCGTTCCTCGACTGCCCGGCGGCAGACTTGTGCACCAAAAACCTTAAGGTGAGAGGCCACGCTGTTGGTCGTGGCGAATCTGCCATCGTTCAGCTTCGCAGGAATCTGCCCCTTCCCTACTCGCCCCGGTTTTGCGGAGGAGGTGCGAGGTCTATGGACGCGGCATGCGTGATTGATTGTTGTGCGGACAACCTCACCGAATTGTAGAGATAACTGAACTACAGGAGCCCATACATCACAAGTTCGTGATATCCTCTACCGGGCAAAGCTCTGGTCTGGGTTTCTCGAAGAAGGTCTCCTCTCCCGGGCTGTCCTTCCGACGCGCATGTTTCCCTTTTCTTGGAAGGAAAAACATACTTACAGCATCTCGATTCTCCTCGCGTTTACAAGTAAATGATGTTTGGTGTCTGCTGGGCATAGTGTTGCGGTCACACGCTATGATTCCGTCAAGCTTCACTCTTCCTCGCCCTTGCCACAAACAATCGGCGGTCCTAAGTAGTTGATCGGTCGATATTCCAGCACCCTGGTCTCTCCACTTACCATTCAAAGTGACAGACCAACCCAACAAGTCTCTCGCCAAAACGAAAACCTTTTGCGACAAACAGAGGAACGAGGCCATGTGGGTCGCAAGGGAGAAAGCGGGCGACAATAGCTTCGACTTCGCGACCTGTCCGGCGGGAACCCAGGCAACCCCCCCTCCACCGCCACCACCAGCGCTGCCTGTTAACGTCAATGCGTATAGTTCGAGCATGGTGAACGCCGTGAACTTGCCCCAAGGCGGTGGAAAACTCACTCCAAGCGAAGCCGGCGCCGATGGCAGCTGCGGAGATGGCGATGGCGGAGACGAAAGAATATACCAAGATAACAACACGCGGCAGCGTGCGGCAATGGCTGCAGTAGGTGTAGATTTGATCGCTTCAAGCGGGGCGCGAACAGGGACAAACAACGTATACAGGGCACTGGAGGAGGGCGTGGCGGGTGGGGGGGAAGAAAAGGAAAGAGCATCAGAAGCGAGGATTAGACCAGGCGTTGGGCTTCGGGGCGTTGAAGGATCAAGCGCCAAGGTATCTGACGGGTTGGACCTGTCCAGCCGTAGCGGGGCGACAACGACGACGGCAGAGGAAGCAGGAGCAGCGGTATCGGTAGCGGCGAAATGGGGCCCGACAACACCACGAAACGCGTACGAGAGTAACGACAGCTCCTGTGGCAGCGCAGGGTCATCGCCCCACCGCAGGCGTTCGACATCCACCTTGGAGAGAATCTTTCCGTCGTCGGTAGGGCCGACGCCGCCACTAAGGTCGTCGTCGTGACAGGAAAGAGGGACGGAGGGACAGAGGGACGGAGTAGGGCTTGGTTTTTTGGGCACCTGCGGCCCGGCTCCACAACTTCGCGATAAGACGGCCTCTAAGACCATCAAGTCCACCCTAGGAGACGACACGTCTACTCCGAACGAAGTCCGTCGGGCAAACACCTGAGTGGACGAAGGAGGTAGAGGGGGAGGAAATGCTCGCGTACGTGATTGGAGACGACAGATGCCCGCCGCATTAGTCCCTGTTTATTTATCTCGTTTGTGATCTCGATCATAGCTACAGCGCCGAGCAAACTGTCTCCGTTCGCAATACATGGTCGGCATGGCGTGGAGAGAGAACAGAGAAGAGTCCCTCTGCCGACGTCGTTTGTTCCTAAGAATCCTCAACGAAGTGCCTACAGGAGCTAGCTTCGATAGGGAAAGGTCGCAACTTTCAATCTCGACACGTGCAAGCCAACACACATGCGACGCAGGCTACGGCAACGGCAAGGGCGCATCGTTCCTTTGAACTCTTGCAGTGGCGTCCAATAACGAAAGGTATCGAGCTCTAAATCGCGGGTTTGGCTTGTGTCCAACCTGTTCAGCTCGTTTGACGACATGTGCACATTTGTGGTTCAAGGCGATCGGACCGTACGTTTAGATGTTGATACCAAGCCTTGTTTCTCACCCTCGTTTACGCGTAGATTAGACGAGGGTCGATAGATCCTCCCTCACCTTTCTCCGTGCCGTGGGTAGGGTTACGGGCGGGGGCAGCGCACCAAGCTTGCCAAGCGCTTGCCGATAGTAGGAGTCCAGAATGTTAATATTAATATAACTAATGGTTTCATGGAATTTTCCGTATCTTTGGAAACGGAACACGCTTGTTGTTCGTGAGTAAACTTGAGGGAAGGATGACTGACATGCGTCGCGCAGGAATTATCGTCCGTGACCTCGCATCGGAACTCTTGTATTGCAGATGCAAGGCCGTAGGGTAGTTAGAAACTGTGCACGACGGTCGGAAACTGTGAACGATGGCTAGGGCGATGAAAAGGAGTTGGGACCGAAGGGTCAAGGTTTATCTCTTCTGTGTTCGCTGTCGGCATTAGTCTAAAGGCTTGTCTATCAAGCGACAGGGTGGCGTGAGAGCCGTCGAAACGAAGAAATGGTAGTATGTAACATTGCCGACACAACAGTATCATAGGAAATAGACGTGCAGCACACATAGCGGAGAAGAGACCGCCTGTTGTGATAGGGTTTGAATTAACGGTCAAACACGTTCTCGAGCGACCCCAACATAGCTGGAACGTTTGGGGTACGTCACACGAGAAATAAGCGTATTTTGTTGATTTCTTTATTTTCTTCTTCAGTATCGATTTTTTTCACCGGGTGTAGAAAGAGAGAAGGAGGGAGGAGCCATCGCCAGGAACACGCTAGCCTCGCGCCTGATCTCCCCTCAAAACTGTCTGTTTCTCTCTGCTAACGAGTCAGGTGTACCCAGTCGAATAAATCCAACTGCAGCTGCCACTGCTCGCAGGTTTTCGGAAATATCAGGACCCCCCACCCCCACGAGAAAAACTAGAAACCAATCAAAGGAAACCAAGGATTTCGTGCCAGTTTCCGTCCCCCCACTTTCAAAAGAAAAGGGATGAGTGGGCGGGAAAAGAAGCTATAATACTACTTTGTGTCCACCTATGTTGGCCGACTCTTGTATCATTGGGCGTGCACAGACACTCAGTCCTCGTTCGTTCTCTCAAGCGTGACGACCTACGATGCACGTGCTCTCCTTGGATAGTGTCCAGAAGGGGGGGGCTCGCGAGATCTGTTCTTCCTGACGCCGGCTTTCCGAAAACGATGCAACTGCAACTCAAAGTTCTCCATCTGCACTACATTCCTCAGTTTGTCCCATCTACGACAATAAACTTGCTCTTCTCGAGTGGAAATGGCCAGGACGTTTCTCCCTCCCACTCTCCTCGCACTCTCGTCTTCTACCATCACATCCCGGCCATCGGATCAGCCAGTACGAATCGCGTCCTACTGATCATGTTGACTATACTCCATGGTATGACAATCACCGCAAAGCGTCACAGCTCTCACAGCTGGGTCCAACCTCTCAAAATCAGTAGCCCGCCTCGCTTCTCATCGAGATCTGTTTTGGTGAGCTCGCAGACCCGTTCAGTCCCAACAACTAACACCACAAGATTTTCACTCGGAAATGGGCGACAAAAGAACACACTTCGAAACATTTTTTGAGCGCAAGGAGAAACAGGTGCATGAGAAATGCGACAAGGGAGGAGGGGTACTAGGCGCAACACTGTTGTTTTCATTGTCGCGCCCCACCACTTCACCTATGGTATTGGCAAACACGAATAAGACTCGGAAACAATCGTAGGGGAGAGTGGCGTTTTTTGTTAGCGCCTCAACCTTGGACTAAGATTCCGACGGGCCACGCTCCATTTCTGACTACACCACAACGAACGACAATGGAGACAACATGTACCGTGAGGGTATTTCACAAAAGAGCAATGAAAAAACTGTCCCCAAGGAGCCTTCCAAGCGCACGTACACTTTTTTTGCTCGTAGAATGTTTCAGCAAAGTTCAGGTCCCATCACATGTTTGCACCAAGGAGAACGTGGGGAGATATATTGCTTGAAAGTATTGCTTGAATTGCAACGTTGCTCACGCGTTGCACACACACGCAACATCGACTAGCCTGACCAGCAGAACGTATTACCGTATGTAGTCTGCATAGCTGAACGCCTTCAAAAACCATGGTCGCCTTCGACAGCGACCCCAAACTACCCTCCATAGCGACGTGGAGAGGCACGCACGTGCCATCAGGCTCTTCCATACCCTGCCTTCGTACTTGGTGGAGGGAGACCGTGGCATCTGGCATCGTGCTCAAGTAATAAACCTTTTCCTCTGAAATCAAAGAACGGCAAAGGCGAAGAACACTTCGACAGCAGCAAATCCCAGGGCGGCCACCCCAGCAAATCTGCAGACAAAGCCAACAACCGCTGTTGGTACCCGTGGCAACGCCCCGCTCGTAGTGCTACCGTCTGCCGGCTGGGCCGTGAAAGGGGGCGCGGGGGCGAAACTAGGGCTAACGGAGAACATCGTGAACGGAGATGTGCTCGGCCCCTCGGTGAGAAGAGGCACAGCGCGGCCGACCTCAGTGCCAGACTGCTCGTCCCCTTCCACCGCGTCTTCTTCCACCACGTCTCCTTCTACCACGGGTTGGTCCTCCGTACAAGCCAGGTCACTGTTGAAAGCTCCGCGCCCGAGGAAGTGGTAGCCAAAAGAGTCGTCCGATCCGGCTGCCCAGAGCAAGATGGCCGAAGTGTCCGCCCCGGCAAGGAGGGCCTGCTTTCCAGCGACCTCAGGGGTTGACGGTCGCGTGAAGGACAGCGAGGTGACGTTCTCGTCCTTCTTGAGCACCGCACCCGTGATTTCTTGCTCGTCCACAGAGAACGGCCGGATGGATGCTTCGAGGGGTGAGAGCGGTGGCTGAACGGGAAGCCCCTGTAGGCACCGCCGTGCACAGTCATGTTCGATGGCATGCGGTTGGGTTCAAGGCGTGTCGGTGGTTGAGGGAAGGGGAGGGAGAAAGGAGACATCGCGCTAAAAGAGACATCGCGCGCGGCGTTTGGCTCGCGCCGATAAGCATTTTACCAACCCTAAACTGTCCCTCACCACAGCGTACTTCAACCGGAGACATTGAGACATTCTAAGGTCTTCTCTCCGGCCAACTCTCGGGAGAGTCAGTCCTCTCCTACAGTGATTACGCACCTTTGAACCGAGGTAGTACTCGAGTACTCCTTCAACGGAACCGACGACGGCGTCGGAGCCTATCATGTTCCCATCCGACGAAAAGCCGATGGCGAGCCACCCCACATTGAAGTCAGCCGATACGGCCTGCTTGTTGCGGATGATACAGACATGGTTGGTGCGCGTTTCTCTTCTCGTCAAGTTGCTGTTGTTGTTGTCCTGCACGTTGCAAAAATATATATTGATGGCATCTATCTGTGATTCCTCAAAGAAAAGAGCAGAAAAAACTAAATACTAATGACGTCGTGTAGACTAACAAAGACCCAGAGGAGGTCGCACCACTCGCGACCAACTGAACATGTTGTGCGCATATCCTATGGTAGGAAAATCACGGTGATTCTGCTCGTGAGGCCATTGATTTGTGCCTTGTTTTTGTACCTTAAGGTGCAGGCCGAAAAAATAGGTAGCCCGTGGGTTGCCTCGCCGCAAGTATTTTCATGACACCCTGATGGTGGATAAACCTACAAGAAAAGTTGTCTACCAGGTACTACTGGTTGATTTGTTTTCTGAGCGTAAGATTATGAAGGGGTGGATCGAGTGAACACAAAAACATGAGTCGGAGACCCAAAGCGTCAACTGAAAATACCTTCAAGGAGACCTCGTCATACGGGGATAAGTTCCAGTGCACCGGCAGACCAAGCTGCGGTTCAACCTTATGGCGTCACATGGGTCGTGCATCGTTCCTCGGTAACAAATGACAGACGCCGGACATGATTTATCGGCTGGCCGACGCTTATTATCTTGGCAGAGCAAAATAGTACAAATGAACGATGCACTTGTACACAGCGGCATATACAACGGTGTGCTGCGTGTCATGTCGATTCTTGGACCGACAGACGTTGATGGGAAATTATCTACTGATTGCTACTGTTGGTCTGCAGCATTAGTCTACACTCCATGTTGAATATAGCCATACATACACTGTATTTTTTTTTTTTGTTCTTACTTCAAATCAGCGCTCACAGCACTACTAGTACCGTTTACTCCAACCCGTGGTCACACAGAAGAGCCTATCTCTACCCTCCCCTCCTGCGGTACTTCGCCTTCAATTTTTAATGCGAGAAGAGTTCAGCACTCTCTTCCCTCTGTGTACACACGAACTAGCGCTATCCACTTGGTTGGCCACAGGAGCGGATGCGAGAGAAAAACTCACTTTGCAAGAAAAGCTCGCCTACGCCGGGATTCGAACCCCTGACCTGACCTCTAGAAGGTTACGAGGCTACCAACCAGACCACCGGGGCGACCATGTATGCATATAGCCATACATACTGCAATGAGACGTTCCTGTAGACTGGCAGCTCCACGCAAGCTCAAACAACACGTAGACTACATGTACGAAGTACATACGCTCGGATATATATGGATATAAGTTACGTTTCACATTCATTTTACATGGACTTTTACGGTAGAATGCTATGCGATCAACAACAAAATATCACCGAAAGGTTCTCGCGAAACACCTTGTAATCGTAGCCTACCAATCCGCTCGCAGAGCATGCCGTGGTGAGAACGACCTCGGCAGGTTGCTGTGCCAGTACGATCGACGCGAGTGTTCTGAGTCCAACCACGAAAACGATCCGCGCAACCGGCGAAAACATGCCTAAGCAATGTGGGTGCACCAATGGCGAGGTACACTACTAGCACACTTCCAACACAAGCAATATGGATATTGCGGAGGCCTCTGGTGGGTATATGAAGGTTGAAGGTTGACGACAATTACACAAAATCGGCGCCATTCTGTGAATGGCAGTTACACAAGAGAGGCCGCATGGTCTTGAACACGCCTGTGTTCGGTTTTCCACTGCCGCGGAGGCAGACCAGGAGCTGCAGACCAGAGATACTCAACCAACAGCGCGCGCCCATCCAGCAAACATCGAGAGCACTGCCCGGAACCGCGCGGGTTGAGGCCAAGACGTCAGCGACGGAGTGTGACTGTGGTACTTAGCCGCGCGTATGATATCAACAACTTGATTCGTTTGAACAGACCGGTCGGTGCGATTCGTGCGTATCTACAGTAAACAGGCCGCGCGGCCCGGCGGCGTGTGTGTGAGATCTACGAAGACACGTGACCCCGACTTTGGCGTAAACTGTTTGGACGCGCTGGTGAAGGGCTTCTCTCTTTGCGGCTCGTGGACTCGTAGGGGAGGACCCTGCTGCCGTGGTTCCGTCCGCTTCCTCTCCTGCTCGAGGTGACCCAGCTTGGCTTCGGTGGTGAGTACTTGAATGTGGTCAGGAGAAAAGCAAGCACTTTACAGCAGTAGATAACTCCGCAAAAGCTGTTGCTGCTGTGGAACCTCCGCTACCGGCGGCGTACGAGATGTGCCTCGGCGAGCACCTTTGATGGATTCCGGATGGTAGGGGGAGGCCGTGCCCAAGTCCCTCAGAGGTAGTGCTCGGGAATGTTGTCGACCCGTGCTGGTGCATATCAAGGAAAACAAGCCGCATCAGAATCCAAAACTCCGACACGGAGAAAGACAAAGGCAAGGAGCTCGGGGGGTATGTACATCTATCTGCTTCTTCCGGCCCGCGGGGCGTGTCTCCAAACGGGGGTATGATTTATGATTTGCTGCTGAAACCTCTGGGAGGGGTTGTGGTCGCAACGGTCCCCGCTTACTGCCGGTCTCAACCTATTACCCTGCTCACAACTTCTACCCTTCCCTGTGTGTTGTACACATCAGAATGTGTTGTTTACATTCCCGCGGGTCTGAGAGATAACCCTACGTTGCCAAGGTTGGTCCCGCCGTGTGATGATTTTTTTTTTTTTTCCCTCACACAGGTGCATACAATAGCATACAATAGTTGTACCGCGAAAAAGCACAGCGTGGCTTTTGGTGCTATAATAACCAAAGCGTTTCAACCCTGGCCACAGCAAGAGTACCACTGATGCTCCATACAAGCAGGTGAACGTGAGCGAATCGTCCTCGACAAGTCATCACAAAACCCCCCCGGGCATATAGAAATACGAAGTGGGTAGACTACAGGTGCACGCTACAGCTGAAGACTGCTGGCATACTCTTTGCTGCTTCCATAACAGGCTAAGGGTGGCGGGAACCCAAGCGGCTGGCGGCGAGTTGATTCACGTCGTCACAATATTCTGAACGTGTTTTGCTGGTTCGCCATGTCCACTAAGTCTCCACAAGTTCGAGTCAGTAGCTTTTCCTTCTTGACCCCCCACCATTGTACCCTCACTTGAATGTACCAGCATCATGGTACATTGGGAGGCGGAATCGAACTCGGGTCTTCGCCACCAAACTCAGATATCTCACCGCAGCGCCGACATGAGCAGAGAAAATCCTCCTCGACAGACAGAAATCGAGGAAATGTGACCCTTCATAGACGTCATCTCCACAGCTGCAGCCTACATTTTAGACGACAGTATTTTGTCGGCATCATTCCGCGAACGCTCAATTTTTCACGGTCACCGCCAACACACAACTACGGTGGTGTATGCCTCGGTTGGAAAGCAATGGTGAAATTGTCAATCCCCCACAAAAGACGCAACACACGCAGCTGTTCTCGTGGTGTTTTTCAAGCGCGTTCTCTGATCCCAATTCTAAGGCAAAAGCGCGATCCATCGAAGTACAAACCCACCGACTGCGCAATCGGAGTGTCTACGTACGAGATGTAGCCAAGGCGGAAGTTAGCGACAGCGTATAGAACGGTGCCAACACAGTAGTCGTATCGAAACCTAACAATCGACTTGGGGATGTGAGTTACACACAAACATCCTTTTGAAAAGGAAGCGGGGTAGATGATGCCAAAACTACTTTGTGTTTCCTAAGCTGCATGCGCGAAAGGGTAAGCGGACGATTTTTTTTGTGGTTGGGTTGTGCCGATCGCGAGGCACGCTCGGAAGGAGGAATGTGCATCGCAACACACAGGAATGAGTGGGAGCATGCCTGCCCCCTTTGACGAGCCGCTTGCTTTACCATGGGGACCAAATATAGGTCGTCGGCCAGCGGGTGTTTAGCGCGGCCTCCGTGTGTATGCATACAACCAAGTGTCGTACTTCGTACGTTTCAACGATCCTTTACGCCTCCAGCCTTCGGAGGTTCCCTCCACACGCCCTCCTCTCAGAATCCTGACGGTGCCAGTGAACGGCCACCACCCTTCTAACCCCTATCCCCCCCACCCCCCGCTACCACCACGATGCGCCTCCGTTCACGGTCGATTGTATGTAGTGACATCCCGTCCGCGGGCAGAACCGCTCCGAGAAATCGTCCCGGAGGCCGGCGGAGCAGGTGGCGAAACCGGTGGGTCGAATCTCCCCAGCCGTTCGTAGCGTGCCGGCCGATCGCTTCAGCGCTCCTTCTTCAGCAGGGGGCAGCAGGAACAAGCCTGTAGAGCAGTGCTCTACCACGAGAGGCACGGAGTAAACGAAAGTATCTGACTCCTTCGTTCTTTCGGCAGCTGCTGATCGTTCTACGCTACTAGCGTAACGCCTTTGCCATGGGAGATATGGTGGTACCGGGCGAGCGAACGCGCAAGTCTATGGGCAGCAGCGCCGGTGGGGTCGGCGGGGGAGGGGTGGGTGTCGGGGTGGACGCGGGAGGAGTCCGACTGGAGGGCGCGCGGGGCCTCCCGGATAAGAAGAAGTTTCAGAGAAAGAGCGTTTCTTTCACCGGGGAAGAGGGCTACCAGGTTAGACCGCGTTTGCTGTTTTCGTTTGCTGTGTGTGTGTGCGTGCGTGCGTGCCTGCGTCGTGTGTCGTTGTCGTTGTCGCTTCTGCTCTTGTCTGTCTGTTCCTGTCTGTGCTGTTTCTGTTGATGTTTACGGAAACGCTGCTACTGCTACTGCTGTTATTCCGCGGGTTCATGCGGGCGTTCCGCTAAGCAGCACCAGGAGACTTGCATGCCTGGTTCCTCGTGTCTGTCTGTCTCGTCAAGTTGTTGGATTCGAGCGCTGTTGCTCTGTTGTGGCCTAGATTCTAGGAAAATTTGACGTGGACTGTACCAGGTTTGGTGCAACATGGTACCCTTTTCTGCAGGGACGCATGCATTGATGCCTCTTTGCGAACCCAATGTCAGCCTGCATTGCTGAACCGTCGCCTGTTCTCACAAAAGCTAGCCTTTCTGCTACGTATGCTATTTTTTCTCTCTGATGTCATGGATAGATACACGTAGCATTGCGCTCTCATGTTTTAGCTCGGCCCCTCACACACCTCGCTGCTTCAACAACTTTGATTGCGACCAAACCTCGAACCTCATGGCAGCTCCTGGGCAGCGAGCAGAGCGTCACCTCCCTCTCAAAGGGGGCTGTATCGGCGGGCGGTACCGGAAAAATTACGTCACCTGTAACCGTGGCCCCAGCCTCGACGTTTTTCCTTCGTGCGGTGAGTCAAAAAGCTTGGTGTGTGTGTATGTGTGGGTAGGAGCTTGGGGGTGGGGGGGTGTTCCAGCTCTCCCTCGTCGCGCGCTGTGCCGCAGTATCGTAGGTGTTCTGAAATGCGCGTGTGCGTCGGAGAACGGGGCATACCTAGCTGCGGCCCCCGTCATTAGCAGGGTTGCGGCCCATGGCGTACTACTGTAGCATTCCTGCAACGTGAGGATCGTTGGCTGCAGTCCCGCCTCACCGAAACCGGAAAACACAAGAAACAGTGGGGATTTCCGAAAGTGACCCTCATGCTGCAGGTGTCATCTTGTTTCCTGCCCGCACGAGTTGCTTCAAATTTGTCGCACACGCCGTCTTTCCACGTGTATCTCCAGCCCTCATTTCCATCTCTCAACCCCCACCCCTTCCTCCCCTCGCAAACACGACTTCCTTCACCGTCTTCCTCTTCGCCGTCCCAGAACCAAGCGACGTCTCCCATGGTGACACCTCACGCGGCGTACGCAGCGTTTGCTAAGAACATTCCCCCACACCCCTCTTCGGCGACGGCGGCGGCGGCGGCGGTGGAGACCGCGGTTTCACACCCCGAACCCAGAGCGGTAGCCTCAAGGCCCGGTGGCGGCGGCGGCGCTGGCTATGTCTACACCTCGTCGTCCCAGGGGATGTTTGTTCCGAGCGCGGCCGAAAGCCCGACCACCGCAAGCGTGACCCCGCCGCAGCAGCAGGCGGGGCCGCCGCCGCCGCCGCCGACTGTTGCCGCCGCCACCACTCCCGCAACCGTCGAGACTGCTGCCAGCCGGGAGCCACAGCGGAGCGTCAGCGGTGGCGGCGTAGCGCGGGAGACGCCGCCGTCTCCGACGCCAGAGCAGACGACCACGGACGCGAGCGCTCACGAGAGCGGAGGCGGCGGCGCAGCAGCGGCGGCGGCGGCGATCATGGCGAGCACGGGAGGTGCTGATTCACGAGAGGGAAGCCAGGCTGCGTGGGAGCAGGGCGCGGACGAAGCGGTTCAGCGCCGCGTGTCGGGCGAGGAGGAGAGCGCTCGCTGCCGGCGGCCGCAGGAAGTGGGCGACCCGGCAAGGGCTGTCGACGGCGGGGAAGGCGATCGGTCTGACAGCGGACGTCACGATGTACGGCGAGCCTTGCCTAGCGGAGGAGAAGGAAGAGAAGAAGGCGGAGGGGGAGGAGGGGGGGGGGTGGTCGCCGGGTTGAGGGACCTTGAACAGACCCCGCCATCGTTGTACGAGGATGTCATCGACACGGAGGTCGGGGACGAGGGGGACGACGACGACGACGACGACGACGACGACGATGACGACGATGTTTACGAGGTTGGTACACCCGTAGAAACGTGATACTGACAGTTTTTTTTTTTCTGCGAACCTGGGGGGCAGAAACCGTTCGGGGGGGAGTGTGTGCTCACTCGCTCACTCAAAAGTATGCTTGTAACGTGGTCGTGGTTTCTTTCTGCGGACGTGGTGGGCAGAAACCGTACAGGGGCATGTGTGCTCTCTCATTCCGACGGAAGGACGAATTAGTTCGGGTGGCGGCCAGCCTGTCCCGGTGCGAACGGTCACGGCTCATGAGGCCGTGGCACGGAGGGAAGACTACGGAAGACGCCCCCGTGCTTGTCGATACACGGCGAAAATTATTATTCACAGCACCGCTCTGTCCTCCGAGTGTTGGCTGTAGCAGCCCCCGTTACCTTCAAGCGAACGATCCCTATGTGCACCCGCCTGGAATCCTTCTTCATACCCCCCCGCCTTCGCGTCACTCCGCGCATCTTTGTTGTTTGGTTCCCAGCTTGTCGACGACGTTGGTGAAGGCTCTCCGTACCGTGACGACAACAACGGCGGTGGCCTCGAACCCGAAGGCCGCGAGGCCGGCTACAGCCCCGGTGGGACGCCCGACAGAAGCAGCGGCGAAACTCCGGGGCAGCGGCAGCAGGAGCGGCCGCAGCGGCAGGAGTCTTCGCCTTGGTCTGCCGTTCCCGAGTCGGGCGGAACCGGCCCGGGGACCCGCTCTCGCGGGAAGCGAAGCAAGTGGGACATCGGGAACCGTTACAGGGCGAGTAAAATGAATTGTTTTCCCTTGGCAAGGTTCCCCTCCCCGCGCATGCACTTGCACCTCTCTCGTGCCCCACATACCCCAGTCCCAGTCCACCGCTCCCCCCGCCAAAGGTTTCCGTCGTGCAACGTATTTCTGCAAGTTTTTTTTTTTCAGTGATGGAGACTGGTGATATACGGAGTCTCCGAAAGAAGATCTCCAACGTTAGGCGCATATGTTTGTTGCCGCCCCCCCCCCCCGGTTAAAGCCTGGTCCGGTGAGAACCCGGCGTGCTCCGTCCCGGCTTTGTAGGGATGCAAGGTCAATGGTCTAGCGACTACGGCATGCACGACTGTGAGTACCCGCCCCCCCCGCCCCGGGCTTACGCCGCCCCCCCCGGTTGGGTCGGGTCCGGGACCCCCCGCTGCTGACACCAACTCACTCCCCTCCAATCCCACCGGTGGCTTACTTGCCTGCGCGCTGTTCTGATGATTTATTTTCAGTTTATCCGCACTCTGGGCCGCGGGTCGTACGGCGAGGTGGCGCAGTGCGAAGACCTGAAAGCGGGAGGCCTCGTCGCTATCAAGAGAGTGCTCAACGTCTTCAACAGCGAGGTGGGTGGGTGGGTGGGCACCCGCGCGCGCTTGCTCGCGGTGTGGCGGTGCCACCGAGGAATTTTGGCGAATGAAGGCTTCCCGGCGGTCTCTAGATCAAGCAAAGATGTTAGATGCGCTATAGGTACTGCCTGTTTCTTCCTCCCATGAGGGAAGTTGGCTGCAGAAATTCGCGGTTGATCTTGGGGGCTAGGCGCACCGGCGGGTTGAATTTCGGTCTCTAGGTGGTCGGTACTCGGGTCGGTTGGATTACCGCGCCAACGCTGGATGCCACTGGATTTTTCCAGATTACTCTGTCTGGACAGGGCTTCGAATCTGTGTTTTTTAGTTTTCCGTCGTCGCTGTTGACTCACCCTCAGCAACGTGAAACTGGTGTCCCACGTTGTCGTTCCCATATCGCTGACCATCTGTAACAACCCCTTCCCCTCTGTATCTGGCAACCAGTGTTTCCTTTCTACAGCCAAGTACGATTAATGGTGTCGTCTTTTCCCCTTCTCATGTCTTCGTCGTCCGCGATTGCCATCCATGCTCAGGCGGACGCGAAGCGCATCTACCGGGAGATGTACATTCTGCGGCACATTAGGCACAAGGAGATCATACACCTGAGGGACGTCCTCATGCCGGCCGCCTACGAGAACTTCAGAGACCTCTACCTGGTGAGCTTCGTGTACACGGTATACGCACCGGGAAAACGAAACCCTGTTTAGGGTAGCTGGCCGGAGGGGGGGGGGGGGGGGGGGGGGGGGGAACCCCGGGGGTTTTTCTTTTTGCCCCCGGGAGGGTTTTTTTTTTTTCGGGCCCAAAATTCCCCCCCAGCCCCCCCTTTTTTTGGGGCCCTTGGGGGGGTTCCCCCCCCAAGGGCCCCTTTGCCCCGAACCCCCCCCCCGGAAAAATTTTGGGGGCGCTTTTTTTTTTCAAAAGAAAAAGGGGAACCAAACCTCCGGCTTTGGGGGGGGTTTTTGGGCCCTTTTCCCCCCATTTTCCCTTTTTTCTCGGGGGCCCCTTTTTTTTCCCCCCCAATTTTTCAAACC